TTAATAATCTCCGAGTTCATTATTTATCACTAAATACTTAATTTCAGTGTGGGCGGGAATCGAACACGCGCCCTCACACGTACCTATGTGAAATTGGTGTTAAAATGAAGTTTGTTTATTATTCCATATTAGCAATTCACTACCTGCTTTGTTTATTATTCCATATTAGCAATTCACTACTTGTTTTGTTTATTATTCTACAATATTAGCAATTCACTACTTGCTTTATTTATTATTTAAGATTATATACCCAATCAGATTGTCATACTATCTAGTTATGCATCCGTCAGCTCCCTCTGCTCTAGACTAAACAAGATAAGTCATCACTTTCCGCTCTACAGTGTAAGCATTCGTAGAATTGTTATTCACATAAGAGATGTGTCAGCAGAACTAAATTGTAAACACCGTACTGGACGACTGCGATCGGCCACAATATTAAATCATTATTAAATCGCCTCCAACTCGGCGAGGACGTGATCACTTAGTTTAATTAAATATAATCCTTTTTAAAAAGCTTCCACCCCGCTTCCGAAATCTGACTTACCGGTGATTCACCTACCCGAGCTACCTGTAAACGCAACGCTATCCGGTGCACGCGCACTCAATATGCATGGAATCAATTTGGATGAAATCAAATACATGTCGTACGCCCTGAAACACAGTGCAGCAATCAGTGCTAGTGAAAATGAAACAGACACTTCTTATTTTACATACTTTACATTTGTATTAGTTTTGATTCTTTTTATGTTAATTGTGTTAATTGCCTTCCGCAAACATGTAAAAATTTTATGTAAACGAAATTATCGGAATACTCATAAAAATGAAACTTCCGATAATTTCTCACTTAGGGAGGGAGGAGTTATGCATCCGTCAGCTCCCTCTGCTCTAGACTAAACAAGATAAGTCATCACTTTCCACTCTACAGTGTAAGCATTCGTAGAATTGTTATTCACATAAGAGATGTGTCAGCAGAACTAAATTGTAAACACCGTACTGGACGACTGCGATCGGCCACAATATTAAATCATTATTAAATCGCCTCCAACTCGGCGAGGACGTGATCACTTAGTTTAATTAAATATAATCCTTTTTAAAAAGCTTCCACCCCGCTCCCGAAATCTGACTATCTACATACAATGAATTACATAATGCGCAATATTTATTCCTAAGTACTCCTTTATCAAACGAAATGAACATGTAGGTAGATGTTTTTGCATTAACTAATAAGTAACCCTTTTAATCTACTGTGTAAAATTAGCTACGCAATTATAACTACACTTAGGTATAATTATTTGTCAAAGAGATAGGTACTTACCTACTTACGTTTATTGTTGGAATAACTATAGAAGTACTTATTCCATTGATAGGAATTACTCATAATAACAGTTCGAAGCACATCACGCCACCTATTTAATGAGTCAACACACCAATGATGTAGCGAGAAACTTCGCATTAACTACTTGGCAATTCATTAAAATACAATTAAGGTAAGAAGTTCACTTCACATTTTATTATACAAAGCTACGAGCCATGAAGTCTGGCTTGCCATACTTAACTGAAGCATATTTCTTTCGGTTTAATCCATTGATTAAAAATAATTCGTTCATGGTCTTCTAAAACAATACCGCTACAAGTAGGTATGTATGGTAGGTAAATAGTAGGACTCTACATAGCCATTTTTATATAGCATATTATTATAAACTTGCATTTATCTATACTAATAATAATATAAAAAATGCGAAAGTAACTCTATCTGTCTGTCTGTCTGACACGCTTTCACGCCTAAACGACTGAAGCGATTTTGATGAAATTTGGCATAGATAGTTTGAGTCCCGGGAAAGGACATAGAATAGTTTTTATTCCAGTTTTTGAAACAGGGACGCGCGCGATATGGTTTTTCTGTGACAGAAAAAATTCCACGCAGGCGAAGCCGCAGGGCGAAAACTAGTATTAAATATACATGTCAGTCTGAGAAATTCAAAAAGCTGCGAGTTTTCTTTTTTTTCGTTTTTGTTCTCTTCCCAATATTCTACCTTAACTACACGGATTATTTTAAGACCATTCGCATGCTGGGAACTTAACACGGACACTGGATAGATAATGGATTTCAGGGTTCTTAATTTACTTATTTTTACCACTGTTCAAGAGCTTCATGTCTGAAACTTTATCTAGATGACGACTGAAAAAGCCCAAAATATAAATTGCTTATGCCAATTCGAGAATAACTAAACGATGTAGATCAATGGTTGATTAGTGCAGCTTGAGGTGATAAAAATTGGTAGGTATATTGTTGTGTTGTAATTTGTTGACATGAAGAATTAATATTAATTAATGGTTAAACATTGTAAAATGCAGCTATGTGTTGAGCGCGTAGGTAGGTATATTATATCTAGTAATTGTTTACATTATTGAAAAGCTAATTGGCTCGAGCCAAGCTATGTATTCCGTATAAGGCAAGTTGTTGAGAATCTAGTTGCGAGCGAGACCAGCCGGCCACTCCATACAGCCGCTCAACCGCTTTCATTGCACGCCTATAAGGCTGCTGGTCGTAGTATTGCTGGTTTTGGTCGAAACAAAGCAGTCTTCTGCTTCACAGTTCACTTGAAATAAGAACCCTGTAAAATGCAATAAAGTAACTTATTAAAACAACGATTGTAATAGATACCTATACTATACTTTCTTTGATAGGTATAACTGCTGAAAAACAAACAAGTTGCGAAAATAGAGTTAGAAGGACATGCCTGTTAAGGACCTTTTTTGACTAGATTATTTGTTAGTGTGATGATTAAAATACTAAATATATAAATTTTTTAGAGTTAACATTTTTATCCTCTACCATGTCCAATGGGCGTCCACCAGCCTCCAGGATAAACAACTGACTTTGACGCATAAAATAAAATAACGTTAAATAACTTCGCTGGAAATCTCATCGTCCAAACTATTTTCTCTACTTTAGAAACATCAATCTATTTTTTTGGACCTTTGCATTCCTGTTCATGTTAGGTCGGCCGCCGCACCACCAATCTAAGAATGTTTAAGGGCGGGTCGAGAACTGTGGAATGCACATAAGTTTTTTGTCTCTACCTCTCTCATCGTGGTTCGAATAGTTTTAACGGATGATGTAGGTAATAACAATCTCTAAACATTTTACCGAGGGTCTATTAGACAATTATAAATCTAAGTATCTACCCAATTACTGTCCTCAAAATAAAATAACGTTTATTTATGAGTGTTACTAGCAAATACCCAAATGAACCCTAGCCGCAATAAAAGTTGATAAACTCTTAATAATGTAACTTACTAGGTAAGTAGGTACTTTTATTGAATATGCAAATATCATGCACTTGCGTAGAGTAAATAATACACAGGAAATAGGCGGCATTGTAACTTTGTCATTCTAAACTAATTAGGTATTTGACTTATTTGTCACGGAGCACCATTTTCGAGACGCACCGGCTGCGGGCTGCGCTAATTTGACGGATGTAACGATTTCCTTTTCAATTAATTTATGGAGACAGTTTGGTGTGTAAAAAATTAACCCATAAGAAAGTCAGTGAGTAATAATAACAAAAGAAGTTGATTGACTGTTGAATTGTTTAACCTTGTGTAGTGAAAATAACTTTATATAAAAGGTACCTAATGTGCTAATGTGGTACCTATATTATCAAAGTATATACCGCAGAAAAGTTAAAACACTAAATATAAATTCAGGTACTACGAGTACGAGTACGTTGTGACTTCCGTTTCCTATATCGGAAACGGAAGTCAAACCACAGTCTTCTAACAAGATGGCGGAACACGTCGCGTAGGCGCGAAATTCAGCGACGACCACCTTGATGTCGAACTGAGAAGACGTCGCGTTCTAGAAACTGTGAGGGCCCGCGGGTTGCTATTTATTTATGCAGCCTTTGTCAAATGCCCTTTAACAATTTTTTAAAATTAGGTTTCCTATAGTTTAGGTACGGACGACAAGCACGATACCTAGCATGTCAAGCTAAGTATAGTGCCGTCTTATCTCGTTGCAAGTTAGGTATTTAGCAACAAAAATGTATAGTTTGGTGTGCTGTTGACTGTATATACTTTTTTGAGGATAGACCTATAGGTTCCAAAAAATATGATGAAACCATTGATTAAGTTATATGACTTTTAGTAAAGAACTGCTTTAAGATAACCAATACAGTAATTTCTTATGATTATTAATAGGTATATTATAATTAATTGAAGATTAGTGAGTAATCTAAGCAAGAATAGTGTCTTAATTTTTATGGTGATAACATTAAAACATGTTTCCAACTAGTTTATTTGCAATTTTTCATCACATGGTGGAGTGTTGGTACTCGTAGTGCCATCTAGTGAAAATGTTGCAGTCTGTAACAGTCACAGTGGCGACCTCTTTCATCTACTCTTCAAAGCTGTAATGATATCATATTTTAAAACTAGCTTTCCGCCAGCGGCTTCGCCCGCGTGGACTCTGAAAAACTATTTTACGGAGCTCTATTTTTTTCCAAAATAAAATATAGCCTATGTTACTCGTGGATAATGTAGCTTTCGAATGGTGAAAGAATTTTTAAAAACGGTCCAGTACCTCTAGTACGAAAAACTTTCGAGTTCGTTTCGTTGCGTATTCAAAGTGTCATCGAAAAATTTTGTATGAAAAATTAAACAGCGCCCCCTAGGGCGGCTATAATATAGGGGGCGCTGTATTCATTACAACCAAACAAACAAACAAAGTTTTCCTCTTTATAATATTAGTGTAGATAAGGGTTCACAACGATACCCCGTAAGTGCTGAGCTTATTTTTATTTTATTGTTTATTTATTTGGGAGCGATGTCTATGTCTGAATAATTTTGATTTGATTTTATGGAAGGCTTTTACAACATAAATTTTAGTGAAACATTGAATCAATAAAGTGCCTAAATGTGAACCATAATAATTGCAATAAGTACTTAAATAGGTGACAAAACAGAAAGGCATGATTTATGCAGTATTTATTTAATAAATTCTTTTTATAGCTTAGACTACACCCCAAACTTCTTCAAATGCTGAACACAATTTAGCACATGTCAATGCTGCAGAGAGTGGATAGTTGCTTATTGATATGACATCTTCTGAATAATCCGCTTCAACTTTACCATGTGCCATAGCTCCCACAATCAGCACAACTGGCTCATCCTTAGGGACCAGTTCTCTGCAGTTTTGAACCATTTTTGAACTAAATGACATGGTGATTTTTCGTACACCCACAGGAAGATGTGATGTTACTGGGTTCTTGATAACTTTAAGTAGTTTCATTGGACCATCTGATGCTCTGATAGCAAACTTGTGTAGTAGTTGAACTGAAAAAAGAAAAGTTTTCATAATCTTATGTCCAATTATTCATAATAATTAAAATAAATTATTGGTGAATGTATTAAATGGCTAACAGCAAATATATCATACCTATCAACCCAGCAAATCTCTTAAAAGTTCTTGGTATTCTTGTCTGTGGGTTTATTTCAATAAGTACATTTTTTTCTGTGTGTATGTACACTTGAAGCAGGCCCGCTCGGTTTAATGGAGAGTCCATTAGCATGAGTAAAGACTGGTGTGTAATATCTGGTCGACAGGAACCTGGGTCACGATCATTTTTCCGTAAGATGTTGGCATGGTCATCACAATTCAACAATTCAAAACTATTTCCAACCTGAAAAGAAACAGTTGTTTTTAACTGCTGCCTGAAAGGTGCTTTATTTTTTACATAATGTATTTTCTTTACATAATGTATTTTACAAAATACTAAGTAGATAGAGAAGACAAGTCACTAAAAATTTATGAAATATCAAAATCTTCAACATTATCCTAACCTAAAAGTAACATTACTCCTGTGAAATCATGGCATATATTTGAATTGAGACAAAATTAAGATTAACAGATTAGCGTAGTACCTTCACTGTTTCAAGTTGTGCATTCTCCAAAATAACAATTAAACGTTTCTCTTGTTTCTTAATGTGAGAGGTCACTAGATGTTTGGGTACTGGGTCATACTCAAAATCATCGTCTTTAGAGGCAATTTTTCTTTTCTTTCCCATGATGAAATTCTGCTTTTCTTAAAAACTGCTTGAATGTACACTTATGAGGCAGCAGCACCAAATAAATATTATTTTTTGGCCTCGAAACTTACAAAACAGTTTTACACGTGTTGTTTGTTGTGATTAGTTTTTTTTTTTTGGTTTTTGACAGTGACATTGACAGACTCCGATCGGTCCGAATCATGGACGTACCTACCAAATGGTCCGATTCAAAATGCGAACAGTATTAGCTCGTGCAGCACTTTCAGGATCAGTAACCAGTTTTTCGATTAATCGAGTGAGATCATTTTATTAATCGAAATCATCATTTCCATCCATACCGTACCAAGCACGTTTATTTTAAAGATATGCCCGGTCCATAGTAATAACATCAATGACTCGCACATCACTAACTGTCAATGTCATCAATTTGACATTCATCCTCTTTTTCGTGTAGTTTTTTCGCTGTTGATTATGTTTATTTTGTAAAGAATTTGCATTTATTGATCTTGTCTACGTATTAATAGTAAATTTTGCAGGTTACGACGTCTACCAACCATCTTTAGACATCTATAATGGCAAACGATAGAGAAGTCTTGCGAGAGATATGGGATGGTAAACTACCTATTTGTTTTCAATTAGCTCAAGAAGAAATAATGGAAATTCAACAGCCGGATCCCTTCTATGTAATGGTACCAAGGCTGAGTTATTTTCCACTGGTTACAGACAAGGTAAAGTAATGCTAATGGTAATGCTGCTTTCCTCAAGTACCAGACCCATTGTAACACTGTCAAATTAATACTAGGGCACTATTTAAGTTGTGAGCCTCGACAACATAACGTGTTGTTAGACGACATCTGATACTTTTAATAAAAAGTTTGACATTTTTGACTATAACCTTATTCAAAACTTTTTATCATTTGAGCACGTTTTGTATTATTAACATTGAATTGAAAATTATCTTGACTACAAAAACATGGAATTGACTTGCGGAAATTTTCGCGCGAAGATTTATTATGACTTTCGACGTGGTTAATCAATACAAAACTGAAGCGGTCAGCTAAATTTCACTTTTAATGATAAAGATCTGTCCTTTACCATTGTAAAACGCTACTTTAAGAATTATAATATTGTATGTCATTGGCTCACCAGTGAACTTTGCGAAAGTCGTCCAAAATGACTAATAGTGGCGGAAAACATTGATGTTGTCAGAAAAATAGAAGAGAAACCTCGTCATGTGATATATCATAGGATTGAGATAATCCTAGGCATTAATTCCACTAACAGTAATAAAATATTGTATAACCATATTATGGTTAATACGTTTTTTTCTCGCTGGATGTCACAAAATTTTTCAAACGCTCAATAGGACGCTTGTGTCGTTTAGTCCTTGGAAATGTTTGATAAATACGTTTAAAAAGCTTTAAAAGCCGTTTTTAAAATTGTGACAGTTGACGAATTAAGGATATATGCATAATGATCCCGAAAATAAACAGCTATCGACTATGGAGGTGTTTTAAGATGAACCAATTCCAACAAAAGTCCCATGCGCTCGGAACACTTTGAAACTTACGGTCGCCTATTTTTCCGAAATATCCGATTATATGACAGAAACTTCACTAGAGAAATTTAGAATGGTTAATTCTTAATAGTAAACAGCCACTTTTTTTTCAAAAGTCTTTAGTTTAATAAGGGAAACTAGCCAGCATAGTCGAATCGCCATTCATGACGAAAATGTGAGCTTTTACACGTCTCGTCAAACAACTGACTATTTGAACACTCAAAATATGAAATAAACAGGTCCAACGCTAAAAAATTCTTGCTTAGAATCTAAACACTTCTTTTGGTACCCATATATTAAAATTAAATGCGTGAATAGCGATTTATGTAGCCAGAAGCAACTGTCGGTGCGGTCAAAAATCATGCTTTGGAGGTGCCTCAAGCTGAGTGGAAAAAATGCTATGAAAAGTGTTTCAGACACATTAAAAAGTACATAAATCATGAAAGACAATACCAATAAACGCAATCAATACCATTTTAATAATAAACTACTTTGTTTTCATAGTTAGGCTCACAACTTAAATAGTGTCCCACGTATAGCTTGTCCAAATTAGTGTATTAAAGTTCATTGTTCGTTTTGTATGATACACCTTCTTATTCTGCCCAATATTTAGTATCCAATATGGGCACCCAAGTTTTTGTAGATGGATTTTTGTTCTAAGTTAATATTAATATGAACTTTATGGTTCAAACCACAATATTGAAGTAGAATTTTACTATGACAAAGGATCTGTAGTAAATAATTTAACTTGATTTAATAGAAAAAATTGGCAAGGTCCACTATGTAACTAAAGTACAGTAGAATCTCGATTATCCGGACTCATTCTTCACGGTTTCTTATTACCGATTCAGGGTCTGGACCCATAAAAACCGAAGGCGCCGCCACCGTAACATGGTACGGACGTCTTCTTAGTTCATTGTTAAAAGAAATGGATGACCAATGGTCTAAGATTTAGATTTTTAGACTCTAAAATGATGTATTGAAAACCCTTTCTATTGTAAAAAGTTAATTATTGTTTGATTTTACTTTGAAATCGATTATCCGGATTTTCGATTATCCGGAACACCCCTGGTTTTAATTGATCCGGATAATCGGGATTCTACTGTATGTTTCTTTTAGATGAAAAGACACTTCCTTCGTTTTATATCTCAAGAAAATGCTGATAATGAAATGTGGTTGGACTATAATGGCCAGCCATTAAAATGGCACTACCCAATTGGTTTTTTGTATGATCTCTACTGTGGTGTGGATCCACAGTTGCCTTGGACTCTTACTGTGCACTTCACAAAATTTCCTGAAGATATATTGTTGCACTGCCCTAACAAGTATGTATTAAGTTAAAAACTAATGTATTATTTACTTATTCCTTTACTTACATAAGGTTTTATGTGATAATTTATGTATTTTTGAAGGGATGTAGTAGAGGCACACTATATGTCAACAGTTAAGGAGGCTGATGTGTTAAAGCACCGTGGTCAAGTCATGTCAACCATGCAAAAGAAAGACCATAATCAACTATGGCTTGGCTTACAGAATGGTAATGTACAATTTTATAATGAAAATACTTGGATACCAATATTATGATTTAGTTAATGTTTAAATAAAATATATGTACATAAAAAGCTGGTCCAGTGGCCCCGAACATTAAGAAGTTCTTATTTAAGTCTCTTCAACCAGTGTCTCATTAAAAACAGATTTTTACATAGTATGATATTATTTATAATAAGTTGCTTGAAAGCTCACAGAAAGCAACAAAGTCCAAAGTGCCAACATTATTAATGTTAATATAAGTTAAATCATATTTGTATCTTTTGTAAGTTCTATAAAACATAATAGTAAGTATTGTGTGTATTCTTTGATCAAGTAAATTACATAATAATATGTATTTCTTGATGGTGGATGCCCACATTTTCAATGACAAAAAAAACATGACAATAGTATGAAAATTGTCTTTATTTCAATAAAAAAACACAAAATGACATTATTATGGAAACCTTTTTTTAAATAATAAAATTAATTTATGATTTTTATAGTATGATACAATTTCAGAGGTGGATTTTATTGTATATGGACATTTTGGGTGTACATAAATCAGCAATGTATTTTATATGTGTTTGATATTATGGTATTCTTACTAAAGCAAGGAAAACTTCAATACCACTAATACCACTGGACTAGATGGCAGTGTAAAATGATTATAACTTACTATTTGTAACTTATTACAGACAAATTTGACCAATTTTGGGCCATAAATAGAAGATTGATGGAGTCTCATGGAGATAATGAAGGATTCAAACATATTCCTATAAGAATTTATTCTGATGATGGGTCCTGTTATCAACGGCTTGTTTGTCCTAAGAATCTAGATGGCAGCAGAAAGGTTTTACAACAAATGATTTCAGAATTATATCCTGATAAAGTAAACTGTAAGTCCATTTCCCAGATATTTATTTTAGTAATATTAAATGTTATGGTATTTATAACAAATTTTAAAATATTTCGTTTTTCAGTAAAACTAAGAACACATGGAATAACACTGCCTTTGGACACCCCACTGCAATGGCTCTCAGAACATATGAGTTACCCTGATAATTTTCTTCACCTTTGTATATGTTGAATGACTCATGTTGTTTGTGGAAGCTTTCATAATGTTAAATGTGCAGCTACATCAAGTTTTTGTACACACCTAAATGAACTACTAGAAGTAGTCGAGATAATCACTGATGCTTAGCGAAATGCAATTATTGTATACAGGGTGGAAACGATAAGTGATCTCACTTGATTATTTCTAAACTATACTAGATATCTAAAAGCTGGTTACTGTTCCTGAAAGTGCTTCACGAGCTCTATCCAACAGTACCAATAATAGGTTACAAAATAAACTGGATCTATCTGAAAATTCAATGTTTCAGGCTTCCATACATTTAGTAAAACCACATAATATTAAAAACTATACAAGATATCCAAAAACTGGTTACTGATCCTGGAAGTGCTTTACGAGCTGTATCCAACGGTACCAATAATAATTTATAAAATAAACTGGATCTATCCGAAAATTCGATGTTTCCAGCTTCCATGCATTTAGTACTGCCACAGCCATGGTACTCGTGTCTTGGTAACATTTTAGCAAGTTAAGCCTAAAACCAATGTTTTCCATGAATAATTTTAAATAAGAATGCAATTTACGAGTTAATTTTCAGTGTTTATTATTTAAAATAAAATAAAAATACACTTCTAATATTGTGTGGTTGGCATAGTGGCATACATTTAGTATGGAGGCTGAAAACATTGAATTTACGGATAGATCCAGTTAATTCTGTAACCTATTACTGATATCGTTTAAAAGAGCTCGTGAAGCACTTTCAGGGTCAGTAATCAGTTTATCGATATCTTGTATAGTTGAGAAATAATCGAGTGAGATCACTTATCGTTTCCACCCTGTATATCCCATAGTCATAAAGTTAAATAAAATGCAATGTAAAGACCAATTTTTGCTTTAAAAATAGGCACAACAGCGATCGGCTGTGATTATCTCTGAATAGAAAAGTAATGGAATTACATACCATTATAATTTTAATTGGTATTTATAGGTCGCCAGGCATTACCAGTTTATTTTATTACTCAAAAAATATCCAAAATAATATATTGTAAGTTTTACTACTGACAAATTAATGGAAGAAGTTGGAGCTTAATAAAATTTTAAACTATAAAGATAATGTATTTTTATTTAACCAGTAAAGTGCAAGTTTTTTTTTTATTAGTTAAGTAAATCTACCCAAAAGTTGACCAATAGAAAAAGTTGTTTGACAAATCATATTCTGGTTTATTAGACCTTAATTTTATTTCTAAAATAAATTAAAAATATGTATTTACACGTTTTTATTTGTTACTTTATTACACCATTCACTAACACAATTTTAATTTTAGCTCATTTTTCTAAAACATGATGTGTATTTTGTATAACGTGTTCAACACGACGTAGTAGGTAGGTACATAATTTCAATTGAATGTAACAGCAATTAAATTTAAATTGCTTGAATATTTATAACGAATAAAAATATTAACGAAAAATTACAATCTCGATAAATCAGCTTTTCTGCATCTGTCGTGTATAACTTTCGTAATTTCCAAACAACATGCTCGCATTCAGGAAACCATTTTCACACGACGGTCTTATCAGACGTTTCGCATGCCGACTGAACGATTCATTTATCGATATTACACGATTATTGAAATTAAAGCCATTCAGTAGGACCATGAATATACCCATTATCTGGTCGAATAAATCAATAGCAGTAGCTATGAATTTAACAATCCTTTTAGTTATTTTTGCTAAATTCCAACCGAGGCTAATCAATTAAAGAATATTAGAAAACATTATCGAGGTTAATGTTTCATAAACAATAAAACCTTGCAATAAAAGTATATCACAAAGAAGCCCTATAGGACACTATATTAATAAGATGACATACACAATACATCAGGTACAACTTCAAAACGCAACAATATGAATAGACTCTTAACTTAAAGCTACCTGCATCACTTTTTCAGCTAAGCACCTTTTGCCTTATGGTTCTAAAGTTCATTATTATTATTATTTGATTTGCTTTTCTGTGAATATTTTTTAATAACATAAGGAATTCGACGAGCGAACCGTCTGCACCCATTGTTGGCGAAAATTGGTTGATCTTCAGTTGGGCCATATGTTATTACTGAAAGTGCATCTCTGTAAAAAAACGACAACATAAAAGATTTAATTGGTAAAATTATGCATCTTTATAAAGAAATGCAACAGGCGGTGCCGCGGCGTGACGGTTCTAATGAGGCGCGCTGCATTACAAACACAAAGATAGGTTCAAGAACAGACAGCGCTAGAAATAAATTACGATCACTTCTCCCACCACTCATTTCATTACGGGCAAAAAATCAATTAATGTCTCGAGGCATCATTATGATCGTGCTTGGCCAGACTGAGCACGCCAGATCGGGGCGGGCGCGGCGCGTTGTACTAACACATGAAATCTTATTCGAGTGTCCATAGTGGGCACGCGGGCGCCATGAAATCTTACTAGAGTATCCATCCTATCCATAGTGGGCATGCAGGTGCCACTATGGGGTGGGGACACTCGAATAAGATTTTTCATTAGTTATTAAAATTTCAAACTAAATTATAAATAACTTGAAAAAATCGAACTGCCTAAGGCGGGAATCGAACCCACGAGCCTTAGGCAGTTCGATTTTTTTAAGTTATTTATAAAATTTTTCATATGTCAAAATTGTCAATGCAGTCTGGCCATAGCTGGGCATTAACTCGTTAATCCGTTAATCGTTAATTAACGAAGTTAACATTTCTATTAACGGATTAACTTTTAAGTTAACTTTAAAAAATGTTAACGGACTCGTTAACTTCCGTTAAATTATCCTAAGTCCGTTAATCGTTAATCTGGTACCTACTATTTACCAAAAAGATACAGCAGGCACGCTGAAAAACGCTAGAAAAACGCGTTCTGATAAGTACGTTCGGGCTTCCAGAACTTCCAGAACCCAAAAAACAACAGTTTTTGTAACCAGATCACTATAACGACACTTGTTAGTATGTGTGGGACAACTCTTGCAACTGAATTTAAGACCAGTTTTCCTGAACCGATTGAGCTGAAATTTGGTATATCTACTTATGTAAGTACTATGACAATTCAATGTTATGATACCATTGAGCTGGTCTGATGATGGAGTCATGAGGTGGCCATAGGAACTCCTAAATGAAACGGTGGCATCGCATCGAATTTGGGTTCGTTGGATTTTTCTTATCGAGCACTTTAGTACTAGATGATGTCTAGGGTCCTGATGATGGATGGAATTCCTAAACGAAACGGTGGAAAATTATCGAGTTTGGGTTTGCTGGATTTGTCTTTTCGAGCACTTTGGTGCTAAATTGTATTGTAATTGAACCAAGGCTCTGAGATTGAGATACTACTAAACAATTATAATAATTAAAAAACTTTTTTAAAAACAAGCTTTTATTCTGAAATGCAGTTGTACTAAAACGAAAAATAATTTCGAAAGCTTGTAGCGCAAATATATAAAAGAGGAATAAATTCCATGCGCGATACAAGCTTTCGAAATTATTTGAACCTTGCATTGCATAGGTACAATTATTTTTTTCGTTTTATTATCATGTGTTAACGGATTAACGATTAACGTTAACTTGCGTTAAATCTTACGAAATGTAACGTTTTAACGTTTAACGAAGTTAATTTTTTTATTAACGGTTTAACGATTAACGAAGTTAACTATTTGATTAACGATGCCCAGCTATGAGTCTGGCCAAGCACTTAATATGACCATTATCACGTCGCGTCGTCGTCATCATTTACGTCGCAATTTACACAACGCAATTTTAATACTGACTGGAAACAATAGGAATACTTACGCCATCATTTCTTCACTGGGATGATAAATTCCATGTGATCTAAATTCGGCCAATGCACACATCTCCACATGATGTTGCTCAAGTGGTAAGAACGGTATGTAGTGATCTATCAAATGGTGCGCTATTGCTGCAGCTTTTTCAAAGCCACCTGAAATGAAATAAACACAGTTTTAAGTTATTGTGTGTAAGTAATTTCTCCAATGTCTTTTGAATAAAACTTTCTGTGTGTTACCACATTTTAGCATCTTACAGTTAGGCGATTATCACGCTGCATTCCGTGCGTCGCGGTACGCAGGGCATCAGTAAAAGCGTGCAGAAGCAGGCTTAGATCTTGCGCTGTGCGTACATACAACGGATCAGGTCCTAGCGGCACGTGGCCCCCGCTCAACACAGAATGTGGTGCAGTGGGATTACTAATGTTTGGCCAAAAAACGTTTCCCAAATTATCACATCGCAAACAACGTTTCGCAAATTTTCATTTGGCAAATTCTCATTTGGCAAAGCAACTTATTGCAAACTTTTAATTCGCAAATGTTTTTTTTGGCATATTATTGTTTAGCAAATTATTGTTTGGCAAAGTATGGTTTACCAAATGTTTCATTAGGCAAAAATATTTCACGATAAACTATTTACAAAATAATTTGATTGGTGCATAGAATGGTATACAAATTAGCTTGTGGTTATTATTTTGTTTAGTGGGTAGTTAATATAAAATTTGTTCTACATTAATTTCCTTATTTCATTATTTGTATCGAAATTTCCAAATGATTCATTAACAATAGCGCTCGGCGGCCGCTGCCGCGGCACGCTTCGCTCGCCTTCGCGCATTAAGGGTCACTGTTCTAACCTAACCTAACCTACTATTTTCTGCAATACCTACTTTTTGCAACCATACTATTTTCTGCAATATTTTACATAAAATTATTGTGAAAAACATGATCATGTGCCTTATGCTTTGATTTGTGGGTAGGTAACGGTGGGTAAGTATGTGAAGTGTCAATTTGACCAAACAAATTATTTGGGATATAATATTTGGCAACATAAAACATTTGCTATATAAACATTTGCCAAGTAAAATTTGGCCAAATGATAATTTGACCAAATGAATTAGTTGCGAAAAGTACAGTTGCTAAAAGTTCATTTGGGAAATGAAACTTTGGCGATAAGTTGTTTGCGAAGTGAAATTTGGCGAAAAGTAATTTGGCCAAACGGAAGGATACCGGTGCAGTGTGATAATCACCTCACTATTCATGTAAGGCAACATAGCGGCAGTCGCAAGTTCCAGAATCCACTTACTAACGAAACAAAAATTTTGTGTGGGCTTTTGCATGCACCGCAATATAAGAAAGGAAAAATTATAATGGAAAAGGATATAATGAATAACTCTTGAAAATGTACCTTGGTGAAAAGCAGTTCTCCTTATGATGGCTTCAAAATTATGAAACTCTACTTCATTTCTTTTGATTCCCTGCTCATAGAGTTCTAATAAGTTGGTAGCAATTTCATGACCTCCAATATTTGATATAAATATAAAAATACTATCCCTGAAACAATAAATAATGCAATGTTAAATTATTTGCTATGAAGTTTTTTCTGTAATATTAAATTAATTGCAATGAAGAGTTGTTTGTTTAAGGGATTTTTTTATTTAGTTTTTTCCTTGAATTGTATTGATAATTACTTGATATTCAGTCAACAGTTCAGAACCTGTAGGTACACAAGGTTTAGTTTCACGGATTCAGAATAGAAAAGTCTAAATTAATCAGGAATAGCAGGGCGATATCAACACTGACCTGTAGTCAACTCCATCAACAGCATGGTGATGGTCCAGCATGGGCTTTATTGCATCTAATACAGAAGGGCACATGTCATGTATTTCATCAAATATGATGAGTGACTTGGGACATTTCTTTACCACTTCATTAACTTGTGTGATTAAATACTTCTGTAAAAAGGAGTTGCCAATCAAGTTTTATTTTGTTGCTGTACGTTTAACAATTTGATTTAAATGAACTTAAACAAAATTATTGATATTTCAAACTTACTTTACTTTTCTCCAGATCAGTGCAATCAAAGTCTTTTTTTCCCATAAATAATTTTACAAATTTGCTTTGCATTCCATTTTTGTAGAGAGCTTCTGCTATCATTGCTGAGGCATAGTTCTTTCCCACCCCAGACCATCCGTGCAGGCTAATCACCAGAGCCTTTTGGTTTTGCTTACTATTTGCATTTACAGCATCTTTGTGTGCATTGAGAATATTTACCAACTCCCCAACAAGTGGTTGTCCAAAAATTTTTTGAGACAAGGACATTTGTAATTCTGGAAATAATAAACAGTTCAGTAAAGTTATTAACCATGTCTTAAAAACATCACAATATCATAAAATCTGTATTAATCTTAACAAGCGTTCATGCAGTACCTATCATTGAAGTCTTTTAGAATATGATTCTAACACAATACCTAAATTGTATGAATAAATTGTAACTTAAATTGATTTATATTAAATAAGTGAATACCAATAGATGCCTCGTCTATAAGAGGTTATAACTAATTAAAACGACATTTTCCAGTACTTATTGTCAATCAATAAAAACGGAGAAACTTGTAAGAGCAACTAATTCCAAAAATACTCACTAGACAAGTCATATGGCACATATTTTTCATTGCAACATTCTGTAAAATGACAAATGGTATGGTCCTTGATGAGATCATACTTGAACCATCCTCCTGCTATTACTGCTGAACTAATCAGCGAAACAGTGAATAATTCACATGATACAAAACTAACTGTACAAAAGGAAATTAATATAAAATTATTGATTTTTTTTGTCATTTGGATGGTAGTGTTGACCGTAGGTTAGTGTTATAAATTCTGCTTCTGTCAACTGTTCTACACCCAAAAAATTTAGGTCGATTTTATAATATCTCAATCAATAGCTTTTGTTAAGATATACACACTTTAAATAAAACAAAGACGATTTTACAGTGCTGGTGCAATGTTTACAAAAATGACATTTTGACATTTCAAAACAACACAACACAACACCATTCCCGGTCCGAATTAACCACAGATATGGATTAGAGGAATTAACTCTCTCAGTTTAAGGCGATTAGAGTCCTCAATGACCTTGGGCGTTTGACCTTCACGCCGCGAGCAACACCCGCGTACCCCGCACCAAAAACTCCGATTTGACACCGATCAAAAATACACGGGCATAGGTAGATACAGAATAGAAGCTCTTTCTTCATACATTACTGCCTATTATTTTAAACTTAAATTGATGAACCTTGATGTTAGTGTCATTTAACTCAGGCGTAAAGGTATTTAATAATAATAACAAAATCCATGAACATTTTGTACGGGATAAAATTTTATTTTATTTTTCGTAAATTTTCTAATGCTTTTGTCGGTTCAGTCGTTCTCGAAATTTGAACAAACCCGACTTTATTACAAGCTTTTATTTAGCTTGCAATTTATGATGTAGGTATGTAGGTAATTACATAAATGTTTGTTCGGGTGGAATCTTGCAAGCTGAATTAGTTGCAAGCTGAATTAGTTAGACCAACTTCCTGACGACAACTAGGCTAGATGACAAAATTTCAATTATTTGTCCGCCAGACAGATAATTAGAAAATATTAGTCTGACTGCACGTACTCTATGAACAATTCTGACATAAAATCTATTGTCGAACAAAAGCTGGGTTGCACCATCTTACTTCAACTTTGACAAGCGTCAAAAGTCTGTCTAACTCCATACAAAAAACACCGGTTATCGCCAAAGCTACGGTCAAAGTTAGGTCACGTCAGGTGGTGCAACTTAGCCAAAGAAAAAATTCATTTTGATCGCTAATGTCAGTTTGTAGCGAGTGACACAACCTCCCCGTCTGAAGGCCAGCGGCCGACTGCCGCCCGCACCCCGCGAAGGCCCCCTCAACAGCAAAACGTTCGGAATTTATAAAAAGTAAAATTTATGAATGAAAGTAATGTTCGATTGAAAAACGCAACGTGTCATTTAAAGATTAAAGAATTCCCAATCTATTCGTGCAAAAATCTTTTAAATTAATATAGCCGTTTTGGAGGAGTAGGGAATTTAAGTAAAAAATCGATGTCCCGTATTTATTTTTTTAATCCAAAACAAAGAGACGTAGCGAAAATTCAAACGTCACAAATGTAGTCCTTGAACTGTTGTATAACATATATTTTTTTCAACTATTTCTGTCCAGCAGTAAAAGAGGAGTAGGCTTTACAAAAAGCCCATTTGGCGCGGATTGAGGACACTAATCGCCTTAAGGTATAGACACAGATATGGATTAGAGGGTATAGATGACCCACGCTGAACTGTCCCGCCAAACTCAATGACAGGGGGGCGCTACCATCGTTCAACTTTATGGTTTCCATTCCAACATGGCAAAAATCTGAACCAGAGCCCCGATTACGGTAACTTTTATAACGTCTACAATCCAGACGCGTTTCTGATTCTGCGATACGATTGGTCAAAACAGCTGACGTACGCTGTTGAACGACCAATCGTATCGCAGAATCGAGAAGCGTGTCTGGATTGTTGACGTTAAAAGTTACCGTAATCGGGGCTCTGAGCGATCCGGTATTGACGGTGGCGCCCCACTGTCAATGTCATCGACAGGACAGTCCAGTATTTTGGAACTATACCACAGTAAAAATTAACTTGGACCAAATAATTTTAAATGAATTATTTTGGGGCAAATTTTAATTAATTACTCAAAACTTTTCATATCAAGTGCAGAAATAATTCCCACATCAATATTATCATGGCTTTTTGATCTTATAAGCAGCTTGTTTATTGGAAATAATCAATTCGGAACAACTAAAATCGATTGGACCGGACACCGGACCGCACCGCAGTCTATTTTGACAACTTTGACATTTAGGAATAACAAAGGGGGTTGGCTGGCTGATTTTTGGATTGGAAATATTGGAATGGGACATTTATTGAAAAAACTCAATGATATTAACATGCTTGCCGACTACAACCAATCAAAGAAATCTGGAACATGAGTGGCACTACAATTTACTAATTGAAGACTGTGTCTAATCCTCAAAATGGAAGATGAGGACTACACCGAAAACACATGGACTTACATCTCATTGTGCGCTGAACCAACGTTGTATGAGGGACTCAGGTTCGCTAAAGATCTGATAATTGCCAATTTAGTACTACGTTTCATAATCCAGACAATCTCACTGCCTCATAATGTACGACATAGTATTTCCTTAGTAATCGGGAGTTTTTTACTGTACTACAGCATCGGACCGGCATCTTTCTGGACTATAGGGCTAACCAGTGGTTCTTATTTTTTAATAATTTTGTTATCATGCATTACTAAACGATGGCGTGGATTAATAATTTCCTTAGCAGTAATCTCATTTCTCTTAGCATGTGAAGTGTATGTAGTTAATCCTAAAATGTGGCAACAAATAAGAGGCATCCAAATGATTGCTGCAATGAAAATAATTTCAGTTGCAATTGAATTGGATAGAAATTTGTTTAAACAAATGTTGAATCCTGTAGAATATGGAGGTTACTTAATGTGCCCAGCAAATTGTATTTTAGGTCCTTGGATATCCTTCCATACATATAATAATTATTTAGATGTCAGATTTTTGACCAGAAGGTGGTTTAAAATTATATTTTTCAATTTATTTTTGGCAATGTTCTTTTTAGTTTTATCCAATTGTATTGTTCCCTGGTACATTGATGATGATATAACTAAGTGGTTGGTTGCATATCGAGATGCTCAAGCATTCAGGATGTCTCATTATTTTATTTCTAGTATGTCCATTGTTTCTATGGTTAGCGCTGGTTTTGGCCTTACAAATGATTGTCATTCAGAACTTCAAGTGACTAAGCCATTATTTATAGAGTTACCAAGATCACTTGTGCAGGTTGTAATTTACTGGAATGTTCCCATGCATCAATGGTTAAAAAATTATGTGTTTAAGGCCTGTCAACCTTATGGTCAATTCACTGCTATATTTGTCACTTATGCTGTTTCATCATTGCTCCATGGTCTAAACTTTCAGTTCTCTGCAGTGCTTCTCAGTATAGGGACTTTTTCATATATTGAATACAATTTTCGTAATAAAGTAGCATCAGCATTAGAAGTATGTTGTTTGGCTAATCCTTGTGCAAAACAGTGTGATCACAAAAACAAAAAAAATAGTTTTCTAGCTGTAATTACAAATGCACTTTTCTCATTTATTACTATTATTCACCTGGCTTACCTTGGAGTTATGTTTGAGGCATCATTTTCGATTCAGGAGTCTGGGTATTCATATTATCATACTATTAGCAAATGGGAGGATCTCAATTACTTTAGTCATGGATTTGCATTTTTTATGTATGTAATCTATCTAATGATGTAATATCCTAATTGAATGCACAAAAACAACTTTTAAAATTGCAGTAAAGTATTAAAGATTTTTAAGATATTTTACTAATCTCCCTTGAATGTAGGTATTATTTTTACATGGTACCATAGTGTCATTTATTTGTGATTGCATCAGTATTTTAAGATTTTTGTAAATTTCCATTAGGCATAATTTTATAACATCTTCTAATTCTAGGAATAAAATTTTTTATCTTTATTAAACCAATTTATTTAAGTAGTCTTATTTATTCTAATCTGTACAATAAATTGTTAATATACCATTTATCTTTCATTTTAATCACCCATCATAAGATACACACACATACATTTGCAATTTATTTTTCATGAATGTTAAGAGTAATAACTTGAAATCTTCTAGTCAGGTTTAAGATTATTTCTCCAGGTCCCAGATCTGAAGAGACAAGTTTTTGAGTAGTGTTGAATTCAGTAAGGTTTGATCTTCATGAGTTAAAAATAGTGTCAATTTTAACCATTCTAGGGATTCTAAGGATTCTAGGGACAATTTTCTTTAATTGCAATAAAAAAAATGTTAAATCCATCTTATTTCATCATCTGTTACACAAAATCCCTTTTCTAGTTGAATATTATATGACTTTATTTTTGCCATATAATTATTATCCTTATCATATGATACACCTATCTTATAGTTTACTCCTTCCAGACAAGGAAATTCACAACAGGGTTCTTGATTGTCTGACACATCTTTATGTGAATTAAAATATTCTGGTTTTGTGTAAAGGACTATTACATTATGTTCTCTGGTAACGTGTTGAATTTTTGATAAAACTCTCTTTAAATAGGTATCCATTTTTTGTATTTTGTAACCTTGTTCTGACCAATAAAATGCTGTTATGGTATCAAATATAATCATCGATATGTTTGGATGTGCAGTTAAAACATTTTCTAGGTTGTATAATGTTGTATAATATTGGGTCGCGTCATAAATCTCCACAACAAACAAATTATTGAACAATCCTTCTATAATGTCATCAATTTTATCACCAGTAAATGTTGTATTAGCCATTATTTTCGTTCGCACTCTGCTCATGAGAGAGACATAGCTAAAATTTCCACTGCAATTAAACATTAAAAGACCCATTTCAGCACCACCAAAATTTGCAGGTAATAAATTGGTACAAATTATATCGGTAAGAAGGCATTGGGGGGCATCTTCACTGAATGTTATCTCAATAACTTCTCTAGGCTTTGGATCAGATTGAAACAACGGTGGGTAAAAATTTTGAATTGTGGGTTTCTTAGTCAGCCTTGCAAGTAATTGAATTCCTGATTCTACTTTCAACGTTGATGTAGACATTATGTTAATATCTTAATCCTTTAGCGTCAGGAAATAAATAATATTTCAAACAAAGTAGGTATTTACGTGCTCTGTGTTTACTATTTTCAAATTGTTCAAAAAATTCTGACAACTGCTCAATTTGACAGTTTTGACACTGTTGAAGTTCTTTAATTTTTGAGGAAAAGGCAATGACATTATTGTACCTACTATACAGCCAAATTTTCAGATATTTTCATTCAACTACAATGAACTACAACGCGTGCAACTAGACGAACGAAAATCACAAACTCGTATCGCGGTGTCACTTTGACAGCTAGTTCAAACGAACACAAAACGCAACTGCTTCTTTATGAAAACGAAAGAAAGCTTTAATACGTACTTTATTTACGATACTGAATCGAATACGATACGAAATTCAATCGTATGCCAAAGATAATATAACACAAATGTAAATGCGTAGCCCATAGACTAAAGAGTATGGTGGATAGCTGTCATATTTGACGTACAAAGCGATGGCTTGGCTTTCGGTTTTCATGAAAATTGCAACAATTTATTTCAATTTAGTGTGGTAAACGGAAAAATACCATTATTGTTGCTGCAAATAAAAGTGATTCGTTTATATTACCTGCTTAAGAAAGCATATACAAGCAGAAAAATAGAACTGAATATCGAGTGATAGTGATGCTCTAAAAAACCTATTTGTTTTGCAAAGATGGCCAGTCCGTCTCCTCAAAGCAGTCCTATGCCTCCGCCGCAGGCTCCCAGTCCAATGGGGCCTCCTACTCAGAGCCCAGCGCCGCCGCAGTCACCGCACAGTCCGTACAACCAACAACACGTAAATGGTCCACCGCCGTCTCACCCGCCTGGTCCTGGTCAACCGCCCATGCCGAATCATATGTCTCCTTCCGGCGCTCCCTTACATCCTATTGCATCTAATTCCAATGGTCCTCCGGGAGTACCTCAACAACATCCTGGAATGCCTCCAAGTGGACATCAAATGCCTCCACACATGGTTGGGCCTCATATGTCAGGTCCCTCGGGCCACCCCATGCCTGCCGGTGCTCATCCACCTGGCCCCAATGGCCATCCTAACATGCCAGGAAATGCACCACATCCCAATATGCCAGGGCAAGGCCCACCACATGGCTACATGCAACATCAAATTGGACATCTACCTCCAGGCCAGGTAAGCATCAGTATTCTTATAATTCTTTGCTGTTTATTTATGGAATTTAGGATTAAAAAGACATGTAATAACATCAAGTTTTAATTAAAATTATTTATCAGTTATTTGCATAGAAATCTTATTAACCTTTAACTACCGACCTATACGTCTCTCAGACGTAATAAATTTTCATTTTGAAATTTTTCTAAAATCACGCCACCTTCGGCGTCGTCTCTCCCGCTACCTTCCTAACTCCGCGTCGCAAGCCCCCAGTCGACTTTGCGTCCGCGGTAAGTTCATATGTCCATGTATCGAAGCGATCGACGTCTCACAGACGTAAGTACGGTGTTTATGTAACAAAATTTCGTAAGCTAAAACAAGGGCGAGATCAGTCGTGGCCGATTTTTATCCTCGCTAGTACGTGAATTAGTCCTCCCAGAAATGAAACTACGCATTTACAATGATAGAATCCTATCGAGCGAGTTTTAGGACCCGCCGATATGCCCGAGCCTCTACCACCAAAAAAATATCCAAATCCAGATCCAGGTGTTAGAAAGACGTGTGCAATCTGTCCCGTACGGTTAAAAAGGCGAACGAGTACTGTTACTGCAAATTTAAGAAACAAATGTACCTTACTTGCTGCGTAAAAATATGCAGTGACTGCAAACGTACGTAGTGAATGTACCAAATATTCAAGGGCTGTCATTTTTTTTATATTGTTACTAAGAAGTAAGATTTATGTTTTATTTTGATAATTGTTTACAAAAGATAACATATTTTAAACTCATTCGTTGTTTAATATTTAATTTGAGTGAAATACAAACCTAAAGTAAGACCTTAAAATTAAGTGCCAAATAATCGTGACCTCTCGAATAAATGTTGATTTTACCTGAAAAATAACGTGTATATTTTTGAAATCCTGTAGTTTAATTACCTTAAATAACAATCTTTTTAATGCATAAAATAGAAAAATGTAGCATGCAAATACACTTGTAATTTCATTACTTAAATTTTTACGTCTCTCAGACGCCACATCGGCGTAAGTGCTGCGTTTAGACCAGGTCGGCAGCTAAAGGTTAAGTAATTTATGTGCTCCTACCATTAGAGCTAGATATGTGTAAGTATTTTTAGTATGCCTTGTCTGATGGTTAAACAATGGCCCATAGATCTCTTTACTTATTAATAGAATCTCATTTATTATTGTAATAAATTCCTGTGTTAAGTATCCTATGTGTGCAGATTGTGGAAAGTTTTCTTCTTTATATTGCATATGTATTGTAGAAACTATGGGTACATTAAAATGTTTCTTGATCCAATCTGCACTGTTACCTGAAACATTGTCTGCAAAAAAAAAATATAAACAGTAATCATTTTGAATCACTAAATTTTAAAGATAATCTAGATTTCTGATATTTAGTCTAATGTATTTCTTTGTATTAGAAGAAATGTACTTACAAAAAAATCTGCCTGTACTGCCATGATAGTAGGTAGAATTATACTTCTGATGTACCTTTTCACATGCAGACATAATTATCTCCATCTGATACAACAAATGTATTTATCTGATGTTATTACATTCCTCTTTTTAATATGTGAAGTATTAAATTAATTTACTTGAATAGGTTCCGTATGGTTTGATAATAATTGTGATAACGAAAATGTAGTATTTTAATCATTATTATCATCATCACATAGGCCTCTTCCAATGATTTCCACAATGGCCAGTTGGTGGTGGCCTGCATCAAGCGCCTGTCCGCTACCTTAATATTTTAATCATATTATGTGGAATTAAAATCATGATTATGCTTACCTTTTAACTTTAGACAAAAACTACTACAAGAAACTGCCCAAATATCTTACCAAGACTCCATGATTATAAGATTGCATAGTAGTATCACAATATGGCAAAGTTATGAGTCTGCCACCAAAACCTTTCAAATTAAAAAATGCCATTAAGCTGGTTGCATGACTATTGAGAAATTCTGACAGAGCTTTTGGTTCTTCCTCACATAGGGGTTTATGACCCATGTAAATTGAGTCGCACTCACTGCCATCTCCAACTGAAATTAATGATGAAACTACTTCATGTTGGATGTAACATTCCACCTCATAAGTGGTTTAGAACAAATGCAATTTTATTGAAAAATTACTTATAAACAAATATGTACTTACAACCTAAAGATGTTCCAAAGTACCAATTTCTATCAATGTTTACTCCCACTGCAATATCTTTATTTAAATAATATTCTGAATAACACTTCTTTTTTGGGAAAAATGCTTTTCTATTCTTGTCCCAGAATCTATCCTAAAAATTATTTATTTTCTTTTAAAACCCTGCAATATTATATTACTCAATACATAACATATATTTGGCTACAATAATACATACCTTGGCCATGCTAAAGGCATATCCATCTGGATTTAAAATGGGGAGAAAATAAAAATTGTAATACTCCATTAAAACAATGAAATCTTTATTGCTCTGAAGGTCGTTAATAATTTTAAAAATGATTGCTGATGACATCCAATCTTTTCCTTGTTCCCCACCAACAATGACTACTGCAGGATTTTCTTTCCATTTGGCAATAGATAGTATGAACAGCTCTCTTTTCTCATATGTATTAGAAATTACTATTTTCTCCAATAAAGGATTCAATTTTTGTTGTCTGCTTATCCACATTCCTATATCTTCCCATTTAAGGAATCCATCACTCATACTGTAAAATTTAATGGTATTCCCTACTAATGATTTATTCTGTCCTTGATAATATTGACCTCCTCTGTGTGAGTTAACAATGAAATAATAAATATACATATTTAGGTTTCCCTAACCAGATATCTTTAATGGAAGAATGCTTTCATAAACTATGTTCTAAAAATCATCATAAAATAATCCTGAAATAACTTACCTTGTAGAAATCATCATGCATTACGTATTCAATTCCCTCATATTAAAGTTGTTGTTCAAACTGTTCAATTTTTAATTGAAGAATGCTTTCATAAACAATGTTCTAAAATCGTCATTAAATAATACTGAAATAACTTGCCTTGTAAATAAATCATCATGTATTACGTATTCAATTCCTTCATATTGAAGTTGTTGTTCAAACTGTTTAACACAGCATTTGTCCACAATAACGTGCATCGGTATTGCAGCTTCATTTGTTACACCATTCAAGAAAACTACAGAGTCATTGTTCATTTGCAAACTATAAAGAATAGATCGTTCATGAAAATTAAAGGCAGTGACCTCATAGAATTTGTTGTAATTCTTAAAAATAGTTTCCGTAGTTTCTGTAATTAATAAATAGAATATTGTTAGTTCTACTATTGCCATATTCAAATAGGAATGTTTAATTTCAACTGACAATTTTATTTCAGTAAGGTCATGATTTTTTAGTTTTAATAGAACATAACATTTTGTAAAATTGGAATGACATTTATTTGAGCAGACCTAATCGATTTAATAGTTTATTATTCAAGTTAATTAATTCGCAGCCTCCACATTCCATGGGCGGTGGTCCCCCGCCACCCGGCAACGGGCCTCAAGGACCTCCCGGCGGACCGTTGCCGCTGTCGGGTCCCCCGCCGCACGGCGTCCACCCTCAGGGAATGCCGCCCACGGCGCCGGGGCACATGCCGCCGCACCACGCGATGATGCCGGGCCAGGGCCCGCCGCACGGGGCCGGGCCGGCCTACGGGCACCCGCCGCCCGCCGCGGGCGCGCCGGCGCTGCCCGCGGGCCAGCCGGCGCCGGGGCAGCCGCAGCCCGGCGCGCCGCAGCACCCGCCCGCCGCCCAGACTCCGCCCCACGGCCAAGCTCCGCCGCCGGTCACGTCCTCCGCCAACGGCGCGCCATCCGCTTCGTCGCCCATGCAAGGATCCTTGGCAGCTCCCGGTCAAGACAATTTGAATGCGATCCAACGCACCATCGACTCGATGGAAGAGAAAGGTTTACAGGAGGACCCGAGATACTCGCAGCTGCTCGCGTTGCGCGCTCGCACCAATAACGCGCAAGATCCCAACAAGGGTCTCTTCTCGAACAATCAGCTCTGTCAACTGAAGTGAGTCGATATTAGTTGGAGCGTTCATAACATTGGTAAATTAGATCAGCGATAATAACGAGACGATTTACGTTTCAGGGCTCAAATATCAGCGTACCGAAATCTCGCTCGCAATCAGCCCATATCGCAGCAAGTGGCGATGATGGCGTCCGGCAAGAGGACGGGCGAGGCGCCCCCGGAGTGCCCGACGCCGCCGGCGCAGCCGCCCTACGGCGAGGGGCAGGGGCCGCCCAGCGCGGGCGCGGGCCCGGCCGGCAAGGCGGGCGGCGGCGCGGCGGGCGACGCGGCCCGCGGCGGCGGGGGCGCCCCGCCCACCCCCTTACCTATGACGGGGCAAATGGCGCCGCCCACGCAACCCACTCCACCTCTCGTCAATCCGGTAACTATGAAGTTTCAAAATTGACACCTCATCGTTTTAATTCTTTCTTTGATTTTTTTACTAAATTAGCCATTCTCTTTCTGGCAGCCGATGGGTGGAGCGCCTCCTCTACGAGGGCCCGCTCCGTTAAGGCCTCCCGGCCCTGGAGCACCTGGCTTACCCAATCAACAACAGGTGATAGATAAATAAATGATAATATAATTTGATACTATTCTTATTCATTTGAAAATTTTGACTATGTATAAAACGATGGTTTATTCTACCTTTACAGCCTGGAGGACCCATGCCTGGAGCTAAGCAGAATCGTATAACTAGCATTCCTAAGCCGGTGGGATTAGATCCTCTCCAAATATTAAACGAACGAGAAAACAGGTGAGCTTCTAGAGTTCTAATTCAATTTTACAATTAGCAAGTCTAAATACAGGACATAATAAAATGAATCCACTAATTTTCATGCAGGATTGCAGCTCGTATCGCTCATCGCATCGAATTACTTTCCAACCTCCCTGCGAGTATATCTGATGATTTGAGGCTGCAAGCTCAAATTGAGTTGAGAGCCCTACGCGTATTAAATTTCCAAAAGCAGTTGCGCGCTGAAATTCTGGGCCAAGTTCGCCGAGACACAACCTTAGAGACGGCTGTAAACATCAAAGCTTATAAACGCACTAAGAGACAAGGCTTGCGTGAAGCGCGTGCCACCGAGAAGTTAGAAAAGCAACAGAAACTGGAAGCCGAAAGGAAACGCCGACAGAAACATCAAGAATTCCTTCAGACTGTCTTACAACATGGTAAGATACCTTAAAAACGTTTTTTTTTCTTTGACTGCCTTATTATGATCTTAATTTCAATGGTGCGATCTATTTCAGCCAAGGACTTCAAGGAATATCACAGGAACAACATTGCGAAGCTGTCACGTATGAACAAGTCCATAATGAACTACCACGCCAACGCCGAGCGCGAACAGAAGAAGGAACAAGAGCGTATAGAAAAGGAGCGTATGCGTCGGTGAGTGATACTTACTCTATACGAGTTAGTATAATTATTATTTATTTATTCTTACTAGTTTTAATGAAACGTCTTTCTTTCCCATACAGTTTGATGGCGGAGGACGAAGAAGGTTACAGAAAACTTATCGATCAGAAGAAAGACAAACGTTTAGCGTTCCTGCTGTCTCAGACAGACGAATACATCGCCAGCCTCACGGAGATGGTCAAGCAACACAAGCAGGAGCAACGAAAGAAACAAGTCGAGGAGGAACGAAGGAAGAGGGTAAGAGATTATTTTTCTTAATGAAGAAGATTAGAGAATTTTCTTTCTTGGTTCTCTATATTTATGTATCATTTTAATTTATTTAGAAGTCACGAAAGAAGAAGCTTCTGGAAGGCGGCGAGATCGACGCCATGGATGATAGCTCCCAAACATCTGACTCTCGCGTTAGCGTCATGGATCCCAAAACAGGCGAGGTATATTATTTTGATACAACTTTGTATTTATTTCACTAGATCGATTTATAGTTCTAAATCACTATAAAACAATTTTAGATTCTCAAAGGCGAAGATGCGCCATTGCTGTCTCAACTTAAAGATTGGATGGAAACCCATCCAGGGTGGGAAGTCCTCTCCGATTCTGAGGACTCTGGCGATGATAGTCAGGATGATGATGGTAAGTATTTTAGTATATTTAGTGATTACTAACTTACTTTTAATGTCTAAAGTCTTTTTTTTTTTTGCAAACAAATACAATATTTATTGCATGCATTTCAACTTTCTTCATCATTTGCATTGAATCATAGTAATTTCTAATACGATTTTGAAATTGCAGAAAGGAAAGAAAGGAGGGACAAGAAAGACGAAAAGTCCGACAGAGAAAAGACAGAGGAAGAGAAGGCGCGGGACATGATCAAGAAGGCCAAGGTGGAGGACGACGAGTACAAGACGGAGGAACAAACTTATTACAGGTAAAATACAGATAACAGCACATCGGACTATACATTTACGTTGCAAAATAGCTCATACGAGGGCGGCACTGAAAATTTCGGGAATCAAGGAAGTGAAACAACGTTACTATTTAAAAATGTATTTATTGCTTTTTAAAGTATTCACCGCGAACATTGACACATTTTTCCATACACGAAACCAATCATTGAAGCAACCATTGCATTCGGAAGTTTGGGTCTCCAAAATGGCCGTTTTGTAGGCTTCCACAGCTTCTTCAGGTGATGAAAATCTCTGACCACGCAATTTATTCTTAATTTTAGGGAATGTATAGAAATCATTAGGGCTTAGGTCGGGGCTGTACGGCGGATGGACTAATAATTCAATGTTTTCTTGCTCTAAAAACTCTTTTGTTCAGTGCGCGGTGTGAGAACTCGCATTGTCGTGATGGAGGATGATGCGGCGGTTGCAGTTCTCTTTACGGAGTTCAGAAACGACCTGTGGCAAACAAATGCTAGCATACTAATCTGCATTAACCGTTCTTTGTCCCCCAAGAGGAATAGTCGCAACATGGCTGGTTTTGGAGACAAACGTGGCCACCATTTTTTTGCAACACTCCGTGAACGAAAAATTTTTGTTGGCTTTAATTCATTTTCGAACACCCAAACTCGTGACTGGTTTTTTGTTTCGGGTTCGTACGCGTATATCCATGATTCGTCACCTGATACGATGTTGTATACAGCATTTGAGGATCCTGCATGTAATCTCCCGAGAGTTCTGACGCACCAAGTAACGCGAGCCGCTTTTTGCTCTTCACAGAGCGAATGCGGTATCCATCGGGAAAACAACTTTTTTACACCTAATTGTTCATGCAAGATTATTTGTATTTGACTCATGCCAATGTCTAAAGTTGCCTGAATTTCGCGGTATATCACATGTCGATCTTCTTCAATCAGCTTACGCACAGCATCAACGTTTTCTTAGGTGACTGCAGTTTTTGGACGACCTTGACGGGGATCATCACTGAGCTTGACACGTCCACGTTGAAATTCAGGAAACCAGCGATAAATTGTGGTTTTGGATGGGGCTTCATTACCAAATGCAGAAATCATCCGGTCAACACACTGTTTTTGTGTTAAACCACTTCAAAAGTCATAATAAATCATCGCTCTTGAATTTTCTCGAGTCAATTCCATTTTCTCAACGACTAAACAAGTTTGACAAGACCTTGTGATACGACCGAGAATCTTTTTTTAAATAAATAAATGGTATACGATTTTTAAAACCCTGGAGTTTGCAATTAAATAGATTTTAATATGACTGGAACAGTGGAACTATTCCATTCCCGATACTTTTAGTGCAGCCCTCGTATAACAGCTACGTAGATTCTACACTATTTAGCTTTACGTGCTGCTGTACATTATGGTCTTTTTTCTTTTCTTTAAAAAGCTAAATGCTAAATGTGTGTACACAACATGATTTTTCACTTGATGAATCAAATGATTTTTTTATTTCAGTATTGCTCACACAGTACACGAGTCGGTGACAGAACAAGCAAGTATCATGGTGAATGGCAACCTAAAGGAGTATCAAATCAAGGTAATAAAACACATAAATAGTATTTCGTTTTGTATAAAATCACGGTTCAAGTAGTAATACTTAAATATACTTTTATTGTACTAGGGCCTTGAATGGCTGGTGTCGTTGTTCAACAACAATCTCAATGGGATCCTGGCTGATGAGATGGGTCTAGGTAAAACCATCCAAACGATTGCATTGGTCACGTATCTCATGGAGAAGAAGAAAGTAAACGGGCCATTCCTCATAATCGTTCCTTTGAGGTAAGTGTCGAAAATCTTAAACTAACTTCTTTTATGACACTAGATAAGGTGCATATTAATAGTCATTTTCATGTGGTTTTCTGTTGCGATTGGTATTTTAGTAAACTATGAACTCTGTTTCTAGTAATTCTCTGACAAAGATTGTGGTTTATAGATCATACCTTTTCTTGTAGAGAGCACGTTACGCATGAGATTCGATTCAGCTTCAATTTACTAATGATGATGATCTTCTAGGACAGTGATATAAACTGTAGTCACCGTATTACAACTTTATAATATTGTCAGTTGAAAAACAATGAAAAATACCTGCCTTCTCTGTCTGTAAAGGATTAGAGCGGTTTAGCACTATATCCAATCCAATTCCGTGAAAATACATCCCAGAGTAGTCGTAGAATTGTTTGTATGGTAGTTTACGCACTAGATTCTATTTCTCATTCGATTTTCTATTTACTTTTCTGTATCAATGTGAAACCGCCCTTAAGTTTTCTTGTATGTTTTTATTAATGTAACATTTCCCACCAGTACGCTGTCCAACTGGGTGCTGGAGTTCGAGAAGTGGGCGCCGACGGTGGCCGTGGTGTCGTACAAGGGCTCGCCGGGCTCGCGCCGCCTCGTGCAGACGCAGATGCGCTCCACCAAGTTCAACGTGCTGCTCACCACCTACGAGTACGTCATCAAGGACAAGGCGGTGCTGGCCAAGGTGAGTGCCACTACCGTACACTCAGCGTCAAATAGTTCGTGACACCCAAAGTGACCAAAAAGTTGACAACACGACCTTATTCCATTCTAATGAAGGCGTTTTTGGCAACTTTGGATGTCACGAAGTATGTATTTGACGCTGACGGTACCATAAGGCTACAACTTGCGCAGCTGTGCGGAGTGAGAACCCGTTCCGACCGTCCGACACGCTATTGGCCCGGTTTTCGTTATGTTCTTTGTTCGGTTGGATTTCATTATGATTGGTTATTCAAATTGTTTTTTTTTTCTCCGTTCCGCCTTGGTGGAAACTGGCCCTTACACTTTAGTTGCACCGCTGGTACAATTTGCTGGCGCTCGCGCCGTGTGCCCGTTCCCCGCCGCGCGCGTCCGCGCCATACTGAGCTCATACGATTTTTTGACTCTGACGTTGCGTGCACCCGCGCAAGTTTTAGCGTAAACCCCTAATCGTAAAATTCTGATACTAGTGGGTGGGAGTTGCTGGATTATTCCCACGTGTTTCATTGCTGCCACTCTTGGCTTGTGTAACCAACTAGTCAGCGCAAATACGCATAATTTACCAATTGTTAAATGATTCCCAGGTCCAATGGAAGTACATGATCATCGACGAGGGCCACCGCATGAAGAACCACCACTGCAAGCTGACGCAGGTGCTGAACACGCACTACGTGGCGCCGCACCGCCTGCTGCTGACGGGCACGCCGCTGCAGAACAAGCTGCCCGAGCTGTGGGCGCTGCTCAACTTCCTGCTGCCCTCCATCTTCAAGAGCTGCTCCACCTTCGAGCAGTGGTTCAACGCGCCCTTCGCCACCACCGGCGAGAAGGTACTGTGTCTCTTGCCAGGAACAAGTTCTGACGGGCACGCCGCTGCAGAACAAGCTGCCCGAGCTGTGGGCGCTGCTCAACTTCCTGCTGCCCTCCATCTTCAAGAGCTGCTCCACCTTCGAGCAGTGGTTCAACGCGCCCTTCGCCACCACCGGCGAGAAGGTACTGTGTCTCTTGCCAGGAACAAGTTCTGACGGGCACGCCGCTGCAGAACAAGCTGCCCGAGCTGTGGGCGCTGCTCAACTTCCTGCTTTGTGCCTCTTGTTTGGAATAAGTTGCTTTTCCTGCTCCATTACCTACAAAGGCACCCACAAGACTAAAAATGTCAAGGCCCCCGAGGTCAAGTCCCTAATCGCGCTGCTTCAGGCCGATGGTCCCGGGGCCCCCAGTTAAGCTGAGGGGCCCTAGTTAAGCTCTTTAGCTTTGTCGCCCCGGGCCTCTGACGGGCTTAGTCCGCCACTGCTTACAGAAGTACAGAACATCAGACTACATTTTTGTTACAAGTAAAAACGAGGCCACTGGCAGGCAATGTTTAGTTTGATGTGCCGTCGTCTATACATCTGAAGAGTTCTTAAATGCTAATGCTTAATGCCTCATATTAGTTTAGCATAGCAAATCTGACTTACCCGCTGGTTCCAGGTGGAACTGAACGAAGAAGAAACCATCCTGATCATCCGTCGTCTGCACAAAGTGCTGCGGCCTTTCCTGCTGCGGCGACTCAAGAAAGAAGTGGAGAGCCAGCTGCCAGACAAGGTCGAATACATCATCAAGTGCGACATGAGCGGCCTGCAACGAGTGCTTTACAAGTAAGACAGCTAAAAGTCATTTATTTTCTACAAATATGATTTTATAAAGCGCTTTTACTACTAAGTTACAGCTGGAAAAACATCTTTGAAGAGATGATCTATCTGGTCTGTTTTTACCATGTATTGTTTTTTTGTAAGGTTTCAGTATCCCTCGTCATTCAAGGTCGTTAAATGTGGCGATCAATCCGATCCATATTTGGGTGTATCAAGCAGAATGCATGAATTAAATGTTAATGTTTTGCCCTTCTAATGATACCGAGAAATTACTTCACATGCTATTATAATATTCTACACAGGCATATTATAATAATGAGTATTACACAAGTCTGATGCTTTTCTCGAAGTTTATTGTCTAGTTTGAACGTACCTTTTAAGGGCCTGTGCACACTTTGTTTTTCAAACGGCTCGACGGCTCGCTTAAAAACAACGTGATGGCCTTCAGCCTCACCATTAACAAGCATCTCAAAGCATACTCTCCCCAGGCACATGCAGTCCAAGGGCGTGCTGCTGACGGACGGCTCGGAGAAGGGCAACAAGGGCAAGGGCGGCGCGAAGGCGCTCATGAACACCATCGTGCAGCTGCGCAAGCTCTGCAACCACCCCTTCATGTTCCACCACATCGAGGAGAAGTTCTGCGACCACGTCGGCACGGGCGGCGGCGTCGTCACTGGGTAAGCGTTTACAAACGCTCACATTCTGAGTTGTCAACTACTATTGAAGCTCTTGATTCACTGCACTCGCCAGTGGCGCTAAAGCCTTGATCACACGTACCGAGAAAATGGGCGAGACAGTGCTCTCGTAGTAGTAGATGTATGAACATACGCACCGAGTACTCGGCCGAGAGCACTGTCTCGCCCGTTTTCTCGGTACGTGTGATCAAGGCTTGACTAATCAGCGCAAATATGATAACTCTCATAACCTTATGATTCGAATTTGAGTGCTCTCTTATTATACGATAGTCTTTCGTAAGCGCAAATACGATAGACCTCATTACGCTAACATTCCGATATGAGTGCTAGAGACAGACGGGCCGTCGGTATTACTATCACGTGACATGGCTTCTAAACCTGTCTGGTGGTCGTTGAATTTTTTTCATGTAAATACAATTTAAAGTGAGTGAATAATAGTTATCGCTTAATGTCGGCTAACAGATTCATTTTGTGTTTTGCGCTCCCACATTTGAGTTAAGGAACTAGGTTTTTTTTCAACCAGTAAACAGTCTGAAATACAGTCAACTAATAATAACTTTGTTTTCAGGCCTGATCTATACAGAGTGTCTGGGAAGTTTGAGCTATTGGACCGTATCTTGCCCAAACTGAAGCGGACGGGACACAGGGTGCTGGTCTTCTGTCAGATGACGCAGTGCATGACCATCATGGAGGACTATCTCTCCTGGAGAGGTTTCCAGTACTTGAGGTACGTATTGAAACATGCGCCATATCAAAATTATAAAAATGTGCGTTTATAGGAAAGTTACCGAGAAAACGTCAGTCTAAATCCTTTTTGCATTTGCATTCCTGTAGTTTCAGCTGCATAGCAGATTATGTGAGAGTCCTTGACGAGGCAACCGCACCATGCGCAACTAAAAGCTCCGCGTTATCTCATTCTGCTATTGGCGAGATAAGAAAAGATCACTTTTCTAATTTACTTTTTAACCGACCAGTGTTTAGCTGACGCCATGACGGGATGCCTCGGGAACAATGGCATCGCATATCCTAAGGCGCAGACCACCGATTTTTTGTTGAACGATAATTGGGTTGGGCGTAGACGGAGATGTTTGAAAGTGCGCACACTACACCGATTTGGTATCGGCCGATTCTTCATACAAATTAGAATCGGGCTCGACTATCGGCCAACTAAAAATCGATGGTCTGCGCCTAGGCTGAAACAAGATTACCACCAAGTTATTCTTATTCGAATACGTTTACAAAACAAAAGACTACATACGTCATCGTTTCCAGACTGGACGGTATGACGAAAGCGGAGGACCGAGGCGAGTTGCTGAAGAAGTTCAACGTGGCGGACTCGGACTACTTCATGTTCCTGCTGTCCACGCGCGCCGGCGGGCTCGGCCTCAACCTTCAGAGCGCAGACACCGTCATCATCTTCGACTCCGACTGGAACCCGCATCAGGTGAGATCCTAGCCTTGGCTGGCACTTGGCTTGACAAACACGTAACAATGAGCATTTTTTAAAATCCACATCGAAAAAGCTCTTGGCCTGCAACCTGCAACTCACCTGATGGAAAGTGATGAAAGGATTTGGTCCTCTAAACTGGATTGTTCTACTGATACTTGACTTAAGGTCCTATGTCCCGTAGATCGGGCAGAGGGCGTCCACAACAGTCCTCCATCGCGTTCGGTCTTGAGCTTCGCGTTAGATCTCGCTCCAGGTCTTGCCGATTTGCATCACCTCGACTGCTACAGTGCGCCGCCAAGTTTGCTTGGGGCGACCGCGTTTGCGTTTTCCTTGGGGGTTCCAATCCAGAACCTGCTTGGAGATGTGACCGGGATCCCTTCGGAGAGGCCGATCATCTATTTATAGATTTAGATGTATAAGATGGGGAATTACTTGAACTTTCAAGCCTTAGTGGTTCAGTGCAACGTAACCGCCGACGAATGTCCAATTTTAGGATTGTTTCGCGGCACCGTTTCAATGATCCCGGAGGACACCGTCGGATTTTAGTGGGTAGGGCACGCCCTTCTGGCGGAGAGAGTCCCACATAATCCACTGACCATCCCCGTCGGCCAGTGGGCATACCCACTGGCTTCTTCTTCTTCAAAGCATTGCAAATACGGAGTTTTTCTGCACTAAGGCTGGACAGTACATCAAACTATGGTGTACATATTTTTGTTTCAGAACATCACCTGTTTTGTGGTAGTAAACTCCTTTCGTATTTTTTTTACTAAAACTAGATACAGTATTGACACCTATTACATACAACCGTGCTAACGTTGGTTTTTGCGCAGGATCTGCAAGCGCAAGATCGTGCTCATCGTATCGGGCAACGTAACGAGGTGCGCGTGCTGCGACTTATGACAGTCAACTCCGTCGAAGAGAGAATTTTGGCGGCGGCCAGGTAAGTTTTTTATTGCGTTTAAACCTTAACACAACGCAATAAAGTTCAAAATAATGTCTTATTAACTCTTCCATCTAAATGGTTCTAATATACATTTCTTTTTATAGATACAAATTGAACATGGACGAAAAAGTTATTCAAGCTGGTATGTTTGATCAAAAGTCAACGGGCTCTGAGCGGCAACAGTTCTTGCAGAGTATCCTTCATCAAGACGGAGATGATGAAGAGGTAAAGCTATAAAGAAAAACTCCACAGATCTTGTGCAAGTACCATTAAATGCATTTTAGTTATTAGTCTTTTAAAATACAATAATTTTGTAATTATTTACAGGAGGAAAACGAACTCCCCGATGACGATTTGATCAATGAGATGATTGCGCGCTCTGAAGAAGAACTGGAGATCTTCAAGAAGATAGATATAGAGCGCAAGAAGACCGAGACCCAGTCTCGGCTCATCGAGGAGTCCGAGCTGCCGGACTGGCTGGTGAAGAACGACGACGAAGTTGTGTGCAATAAGGTAGGAATATCTACCTCTACTCCATATCTTCAATCAAGGTACAGTCAGCGTCACATAGCTCGTGACCAAAAACGCTGAAAATATTTTTGACTGCTTTGGATGTCACGAACTATTACGCTAACTGTACCTCATGCTAAAGACAGATTGCTAGAATTCTATAACCAGTTTATTTTCCGATTTTTATGACACTTTCCGCAATATTTGTATTTTTTGTGATCATATTATGTTAATAAAATACCCGATGATACCGATTATCATACATCATTATGATCAAAATGTGCGGTATCAACTTGCCTTTCCCATCCCATCATCAGCTGTATACGATATCCCATCTTGACATACGAACATGCACAATGTTCACATTATTCACCTATTTTGTTCATCAGGGCCAGGGTTGGAACTACATGGACGAAGACGAGTCGCTTGGGCGCGGCTCGCGCCAGCGCAAGGAGGTGGACTATACGGACTCGCTCACGGAGAAGGAGTGGCTGAAGGCCATCGACGACGAGTTCGACGAGGAGGAGGAGGAGGACGACGACGATGAGGTGCTCGATAAGAAGCGCAAGAAGGGACGCAAGCGCCGGTAAGCGGACACTTTCAGTAATGGCGCAATTTCACTAGTCGATAAGGGTCCGCATGCGGCGTGCGGGAGATTTCTGGAACGCATGCCACAGGGCCCGCAATCTGGGTGCGAAGTTTACTAAAAAATAGAAACAGGCATGGCGCGTCACAAAATCTGAATGATGAATTTCATTGGTCGATAGCACGGTCGGTATAATGCATGCGGGGAATCCCCGTAGGCGTTGTACCGAACGCGTATCGACTTGCAACTTTCATTGGTCGTTGTCTCGCATGCGGGGAGTCCCCGCATGCTGTATACCGAACGAGTTATCGATTAATGAAAATGCGCCATAAGCCTAGGCGTAGACTACCGATTTTTCGTCGACAGATAGTTTAGTCAGGCAGTTGATCACTATGGGCATGTATGGAAGTACGCTCGTTACACCGATTTGATTTTCATACAAATTAAAATGGGGCCCAACTATCGGCCGACTAAAAGTTGGTGGTCTGCGCCTAGGCTAACACTTACATAAACTGGCGCGCGTGCACTGGTGACTTTTGTCGCCGTGATTGTTTCGTCATGCAAGTCAAGCCAATCAAGTCGCCAAGTCCATGGAGATGTACGGAGGTGCGCGCACGTAGCGACAGAAACTGTTAGGCTGGTTTTAATGTCACGCGGACTGTCAGTGCGGATCGCTCCGCACAGCCGTTCTGTATGAACTGCTAGTGAGCGGAGCGGTTCCTCCGGATTGCATTACTCTAAAACGCTCCCTAGAAGTTCATACAGATTGGCCGTGCGGAGCGGGTCCACACCGGACGGTCCGCGTGACACTAAAACCAGCCTTAGCCTTTTACCACCTTCAGAGAAGCAAGTTGCGTAACCCAACCCAACTTGGGTTGCATCTCAAATCACAATACCTTCTATATTGCGAACGGCTTAGAATTAGTTTAGTGTTGGTTGTTTAAACTTTAACCCCCTTATTAATAAAGTTACACCCTTTTTTTCCGGGGAAAAATGCATTGAATTGCATACCTACCCTACGGGGACAGGGTAGGTTATGTAAGGCTCACCAAGTCAGAAGGACAAGGCATATCCACTAAAAGACCCCGGTGCTCCGTCATTCGCCTTAAGTGGGAAGGGACTGTGGGATTCCGGACAAAGCCTTCACTACCACAGTCCCTCCCGGCGTCCCGGCGATTGTCCGCCTACACGGCGGGCCCTACAGGCCCCCCAGGACGGGGGGCGACGGGTGCAGCTAGGAGCACACAGCTGTTCCCGTCCGATGGTGGTGGTGGCCTATGCAATGCAGGCGAGGGCGCCCGCACTGATTATTTTCTGAAATATTAATCAGCACCGCACTGTGGCTTCTCACACACGGTGCGGTGTGGTCGCGGCGCGGCGCCGGAGCGATGTCGCTGCGGCGTCCTGCATATAAAAATCAATGATATGCCAGACAGTGCGTTCCGGCGCCGCACCACACGCACACCGCACTTCGATTGAGCGAGACGGTGTCGTATACCACATGTGTAGTGATGTAGCAAAATGTTTGCGGTGCGGCGCCGCACCATGTGGCTTCTCACTTAGCGATTAAGGTTGCTCATGAAAATGCTACCGACGTTACCGACCATTACGAATACTTTTTCCTTTATGAGTTTTTATACTTAAATATACATATACAACGTGTCCCAAAATTCAAGGATAAACCGGCGCCGCAGGATGGACATAGTCATGACTACTTTAGGAAAAATAAGGAAAAAAATCTATCTTAATTATTTTTTAAGTTACATAATAAATTATGAAATTCTTCGAAAATTGACACCCCTTATGATATTTTACATTACCACGACCACTATTTTTTAAATATTTCTGTTTTTTTGTTTGTATCGGCAACTTAAATAGTGCTGCTGTCCATTCCAATTCTTAAAACCCCCAGAATCCTTGCAGTTTTTACACAAAAGTTAATCAAAATATGATATTTCCTTAAAATTTTGAACGATTTTTACTTTCACTCCACTTTGACTCGTCGTTTTGTAAAAAAAAAGTATGAACACTACTGCGGCAAGTTTTTTTATAAAGTTGACGCAACTATCCAAGATTCCAAAATGGTATAATACTCTAAGAAAACTAGTCGCAAAAAAGATATGCGTACCATTTTTACAAGCACTTCGCTTGTTAGTTAGTGTGGGACAAATCTTGCAACTGAATTTAAGACCAGTTCTCCTCAACCGATTGAGCTGAAATTTGGTTACATTATGTAAGTACCATGACGATGCATTATTATGGTACCATTGAGCTGGATGGAGTCTGGAGGTGACCATAGGAACTTCAAAACGAAACGGCGGAATCGCATCTAGTTTGGGTTCGTTGGATTTGTCTTTTCGAGCACTTTAGTGCTAGATGATATCCAGGATCCTGATAATGAGTCAAGAGGTGGCCAGGAGCTGGCCAAAGGAACTCCTAAACGAAATGGCGGAAGCTTATCAAATTAAGATTCGTTGGATTTGACTTCCCGAGCACTTGGACCATAAAATTGAGAAACAACTAAAAAGTGTAAAATAAAGTTATAAAAAAAAAAACTTTTTTTAAAACAAGCATGAATGCCAAATTTTAAGAAAGAATTTAACGATAAAAATAATTGTATGCAAGATTCAAATAATTTCGAAAGCTTGTAGCGCAAACAGAAAAAAAGAGGAATAAATTCCATGCGTGATTATAACTTTATTTTAAACTTTTTAGTTGTTTCTCAATCTCATGGCCTAAGTGCCCGGGAAGACAAATCCAACGAACCCAAATTCGATAAGCTTCCGCTGTTTCGTTTAGGAGTTCCTATGGCCAGCTCCTGGCCACCTCTTGACTTAATCATCAGCACTCTGGACATCATCTAGCACTAAAGTGCACGAAAAGACAAATCCAACGAACCTAAACTAGATGAAATTCTGCCGTTTCGTTTAGAAGTTCCTATGGCCACCTCCAGACTCCATCCAGCTCAATGATACCATAATATTGCATTGTCATCGTACTTACATAAGTATACCAAATTTCAGCTCAATTGGTTGAGGACAACTGGTTTTAAATTCAGTTGCAAGATTTATCCCATACTAACTAACAAGCGAAGTGCTTGTAAAAATGGTACGCTTATCTTTTTTGCGACTAGTTTTCTTAGAGTATTATACCATTTTGGAATCTTGGATAGTTGAGTCAACTTTATAAAAAACTTGCCGCAGTAGTGTTCATACTTTTTTTTTACAAAACGACGAGTCAAAGTTGAGTGAAAGTAAAAATCGTTCAAAATTTTAAAGAAATATCATATTTTGATTAACTTTTGTGTAAAAATTGCAAGGATTCTGGGGGTTTTAAGGATTGGGGTGGACAGCAGCACTACTTAGGTTGCCGATGCAAACAAAAAAACAGAAGTACTTGAAAAATTGTGGCCGTGGTAATGTAAAATATCATAAGGGGTGTCAATTTTCGACGAATTTCATTATTTATTGTGTAACTTGAAAAATAATTAAGATAGATTTTTTTTCTTATTTTTCCTAAAGTACCCATGACTATGTCCGCCCTGTGCTGCCGGCTTATCGTTGAATTTTGGGACACGTTGTATGTTACATAATTCAAGAAATATGTTTTTTTACAGTCGTAACCAAGAAGATTCTGATGACGAGGAAATAGCTAGTTCATCTAAAAAGAAGAGCAAAACTGAGATCAATCAATTGAAGAAACGCCTCAAAAATATTATGAAGAAAGTTATAGATTATGCTGACGAGTAAGTAAAGAACATTTCTTAATATAGAAACATACGCCGAGAAATTTAAAACCTTTTGAGATTATTATTTTTATTTCATCATAAGAACATGCATAAAAGCCTGTTTATTCAAAATACCTACTTTGCATAATTTCAGAGGGGGCCGAGTACTCTCCGAACCGTTTATGAAGCTACCATCACGCCGTGAGCTTCCAGATTATTACGATGTCATCAAAAAACCTTTGGACATCAAGAAGATCATGAACAGAATTGAAGAAGGCAAAGTAAGTTGCTTTAATTTCAGGTCTTTGGAAACGCGCGGGTCGCTGGCGGACGCTTCGTGTCAAACGGATAACTCATGGAATGGAATAATGTTGATAAAATATTTTTCTTTCTTTTCAGTACAACGATATCTCGGATTTAGAACGTGACTTTTTCACGCTTTGCGCAAATGCCCAGATATATAATGAAGAGGCCTCACTTATTTACGAAGATTCGGTGCGTCTGCGCAACGTATTTATCGAAGTGCGACGGCGTTATGAAGCGGGTCAGAATTCGGATGACTCTGACGATAATGATAAAGGTAAATATTGTACATTTTCTACTAACATAGTATTTTAAGAAGTCGGTTAAAAAGTGTGTGTTCATTTTATTGTTATTTACTTCGTTAACAGAGGAAGAAGAATCCGACGGTGAATCAAATCGCTCTGTCAAAATGAAAATAAAATTGAAGGGGAAAAGTAAGGGCACACCTGGACGGAAGCGCAAACAGCGCAAATACATTTCAGACGATGAAGACTATGAGGAGGATTAAACTCCCTGCTAAGTAGTGGTCAAGGCTACTGCAAGTATAAATGATAGTATATTTTAGTAGGTATATAAAATACCAATAGGTACATCATATAGTAATTAATCCCATCCATTTTATCTTTGGACATAGTTATAATTTTTAAGCCATTATTTAATTAATTACTCGACATATTTTATATTTTCACTACGAATGTGCACATGTCTATGAAATTAAAAAGAAGAATTCATCCTTACACATTTTTTTTGTTTTACTTTATAGAAATGTACTGAGAACTTACCGCATCTGAATGCATTGGCAATTTTAAGATGATTATTAATGTTATAGGTACATACTTAATCTCTTAATTCAAATGGCTAATTATGACAAAACTTGAATCATTTTTATAATATCGACTATTAATGTATGTAGTTATTATGTGTATTTGACCTTTTCATATTATTAGGGAATTTTCTAGGTGACTAATTAGCAGAGCGCTAGTAACATCGCGAGCATTTTATTCTCACTTCGCCAAAAGTACCCGAATTAGGTAAAAGGTTTGAAAATAATATAAAAATATATAAATTAAAAACTATTATAGTTATTCAAAACATATTTTTACCTACACTTTCTTGTTCTTCTAAGATAATCTGCTGGCGGTGTTCTTAGTCTAATTTTGATAATATTTTTCTTCTAATTCAGATATTTCCTGCTAATTGTTTACCTATTCTATGGACAACAATTGACGCGCCCCCTCCATATAATTGAGTACCTATTAGAAACTTAGTACCCATGATATTGCTCAGCAGCTAAACCCTTTTGCTGTGGCTGGCGTGTTTACTCATCCTGAAGAATGTGCTTATCCTAGTTCTGGTGAACGATAACTGTTTAAAATTATCCGTCCACCACATACGGCGCGATTTTACCGTGTCTCAAACTTCCGACAGTCTAATAAACCATTTATGGCTTGATTGGTGTTGCTAGTTAACGATTTATTCAAACGAGTTATCATGACTGCAGTTTGTGTCCTACTACTAACTCACAAAACGGTTTGCCGCAGGAAAAGGGTTAGAAATTTATAATTTTAAATGTAATTATTTATAATCCGAATATTTTCTCAATTATTTTGGCCTAAAAAAGGTTTTAAGATAAAGTGCGTCAGTTGTTGTATACTGTTGGTAAAATAGGTATGTTTTAAGGATATTTTAATATGTAAGATGTAACACACTGCTGTATTTCTGAATTGATTTCATTTTAAACCATTTGATTGGTACAATATAATGTCTAATATTGGATAAATTCAAATTACAACTGCACATTTTAATGTACACTGATTTTCTCATTGTAGGTATAATGTGTTTTGGCATTTAATTAAACAATTAAATTATATTCTATAGTTTTATTTTTTATCCTCTGAGTCATCTGTCTTATTAAGTTTTTGTATGTCCTTGTGTTTGAAGTCAGCCCATTTGTAAAGGACACCATGCACTGTCAGCATGTGCTTATTTAAACTTGTGCTATAAGTAAACTTTTGCGTACATGTAGGACATCCAAAAGGCTTTTCACGAGTGTGCACACGATGGTGACGTTTCACATCACCTCTTGTATAAAAGGACAAGTCACACAATTCACACTTGAATTGTTTATCACCCATATGTCTGTAAAGAAAAATGTCTTTATTTACAATGTCCTAGGGTCAACAAAAGTAAAAAATATCAGAATAAATTGTTAAACTAAACTGTGGATTTCTAGAAAACAGTATAATTATTAGAAACTAGCGGCCGCCCGCGACTTCGTACGCGTGGATCCCGTTTTACCCCCTTCATCTATCTTACGCGGTTTAGATTTTTTCATACAAATGTTTTTTCCCGCTAACTCCCGTTCCCGTGGGAATTTTGCAATATCCTGTTGTAACCAAGCTTTAAGTTTACTAAGGTACCTGAATGCCAAATTTCAAGCGTCTAACTTAAGCGGTTTAGATTTTTCATACAAAAGGATTTTCCCGCTAATTCCCGTTCCCGTGAGAATTTCGGGAATTCCTTGTTATAACTAAGCTTTAAGTTTACTAAGGTACCTACATGAAAAATTTGAAGCGTCTAACTTAAGCGGTTTAGATTTTTCATACAAAACGATTTTCCCACTAAATCCCGTTCCCTTGGGAATTCCTAAGTATACTATAACCTGCCCAGGAGTATGAAGAATAATTGTACCAAGTTTCGTTAAAATCCGTCGAGTAGTTTTTGTTTCTCTAAGGAACATACAGACAGACAGACAGACAAAAATTTTACTGATTGAATTTTTGGCATCAGTATTGATAACTAATCACCCCCTGATAGTTATTTTGAAAATACATTTCATGTACAGAATTGACCTCTCTACAGATTTATTATAAGTATAGATAATGTGACTTTTTTACCTTTTCAAATGTAGAATCAAACTTTTCTTTGTGTGGGTTTTATATCCACAAAAATAACATTCTACTCTCTTTTCTATATTATGTTTTTTCCTGTGACTGAGCAGTTCTGATGATGTTACAAATGTATCACCACAATCTTCACAGTTATAGTTACGAATATTATAATGCCGATACATATGGTCTTGCAAAGACTGTTTAGATTTCAAAAGTTTGTGACAGATGTTGCAGGCTAATTTACTGTTTTCATGAACTTGTGAATGCTTTTTCAAAGTATAACTATGTTTAAATTGTTTCCCACATACTGAACATGTAAAATATGTAGTAGAGCTATGTGTTTTCTGATGCGCGGAAAGACTGGCAGCCTGAGTAAATCTTTTGCCACATTGACAATGATATGGGCGTTCTCCATCATGCCTTCTCATGTGGTTTACCAACGTTTGGCTATGGGGTGTTGAGTATGAACAACTTGTACAATGATAACGACGAGTAGAACTAAAACCTGAGACATCACCAATATGTTTTCTTTTTTGATGCATTGACGCAACATGTTTCATGAGTGATGATCTAGTCTTAAGAACTTTACCACATACACTGCAAACGAACTGATTCAGTGTACCTCTTTGAGAATCATTATCATCACATTTTTTTACTTCACTGGTGTTTGAAGTGTATTCATCTGATTCATGTGAATTATCCGATTCTTTGATATTATTTAACTTTGGTATTTCCTTGAAATCACATACTTCTTTAACTTTGTAGGTGTTAGCAGCAAATCTTTCATCAAATGATACACACTTCAATCTAAAATTATTAGCTGCATTTAATTCGTCAATACAATTACTACAAATCGAATAAGGTAAATACCTTTCTGAATATATTATAATCTGGAAACATAAGTAAACCTTTTCCAAAATATCTTTAGATTCAGGAGTAGCATCAAATAAATTTACAGAAGCTAATGAAGTTTGTAAGCATATACGACACACATCACGCAAAAGTCGAGTTTGCGAACTCATTATATGTAGGTTTAATAATTTTAAAACAATATACAGATGAATAAAATTATTTTTTAAGCTAGACGAACCGACCGTAACAAATCGCAAAAATTTGTAAACAATCAAACGTCAAAGTCAAAATGACATGACAACACAAAGGGGACGTTTGGCCGAAAAATAAAATTGATAGCGCTAATAAGAAAAATGGCGTTCTTTAGCGGTAAATAACAGTGCTAAAAAACGTACGGAAAACGTCCCAATGTACCAGAGAGCAGAAATGTACACATGGCCACTCTGTTAACTACAAGTCTAATTTTTTAGAAATCAGCAGAAATATCATCAAACATGGCCAACTGACATAAAAATATTTTTAGTCTGTGAACTAGTGATGCGACAAAACCTCTCGTTAATCGCGAAGTGAAATTATTGTAGTACTTGCGTATCATCGCCGGGTAATCGTCAAAATAATAAAAATATGCAACAAAGTCGCAACATTGAATGTGAACTGATTATGAAATTTTCGAGAACAGGAAACAAACTGAATGCACAGATGTAATCAAAAAACACACTGTGGACAGTAAAATCCGTAAAGTTATTAAACTTCAAATAGTTGCAAAAAGTTCTGTTTGACAGTGTTGCTACTAGTGACATCTCGCTCGCTCAGTCCTTTGTTGCTCTATTCCGCTAGGGAGGTAATTAATAAGATGTTATCAATTAAAAGAAGATTTTTTTTCTTTTATTAATAAGCAATGGAACAATACGTAAGCATTATTGCATAAAAAAGGAAAATAATTTCGTTTAAATAAAACCGACTAAAAATTTAACTGACTCCGAAAAAGTATACACTAAATGTAGAAAAATAATTTTACGTTATCTCCAATAATGTCGAAGTTATCGCTGGAAAACTTAACAAAGTATCGTATACTTTTTATTTAAAATTAATCAGTAATCGGAATAAGTGAATACTTAAAGAAATATCGATTAAATTTACAGATTATTGTCTATGACTCACAGGTTACAGCACTGATGTGTCAGAGACAAGTCATAGACAATATGGAGATAACACATGATTTTAAACGTCAAGTCAATTTGACAAGTCTCACAAATTTTCATCGTCCACGTATTTTGCTAAAATAATTTGTTTCAAAGATTGATTTCAAACTTGTATAAACGTGAAAATAAAGTTGGTTTCATGGGCTTGTTAAATAATGTGTATGATATTATGAACACGTAAGTGATTATGGTGTAATTGTGTATGAAAGTGTTTGTTTACATCTCTGCTGGATTCTAAAAAATCAAGGTTATATCCATTTCCGTTTTTGCTCTCGCTCTAATCAAATGGTGATTCTTTGCGATAGAACGATATGACATAACTGGCAATGGGCAGTTATAAGTTATACAGGGTGGAAACGATAAGTGATCTCACTCGATTATTTCTAAACCATATGAGGTATCGAAAAACTGAGCCCCGATTACGGTAACTTTTAACGTCTACAATCCAGACGCGTTTCTGATTCTGCAATACGATTGGTCAAAACAGCTGACGTACGCTGTTGAACGACCAATCGTATCGCAGAATCGAGAAGCGTGTCTGGATTGTTGACGTTAAAAATTACCGTAATCTGAGCTCTGGTAACTGATCCTGAAAGTGCTTCCCAAGCTCTTTTCAAGGTATCAGTAATAGGTATAGGAAGCTGGAAACATTGAATTTTCGGATAGATCCAGTTTATTTTGTAACCTATTATTGAAATCGTTCGATAGAGCTCGTGAAGGACTTTAACCAGTTTTTGGATATCTTGTATAGTTTAGAAATAATCGAATGAGATCACTTATCGTTTCCACCCTGTATAGCACTGTTGCCGATTAGGCCTTGTTTGAAAACATGCTGTTTTGGGACTTTTGGCACGGTAATACTATCTATGCAGTATTCCAACTCGGCCATATTTTTGAAATAAATGTCAACAGCCGCGCGGTATGTCATCGTATGACAACATGCGATAGGGCTGCCCACCTGCAGACCCTATTATCACTACATCTGCCTACTTAGAATTTCTATCTAGTTTGGTCAATGTATTTTGTTTTTTTATTTTATTATGACAAACAAAATACTTTGTGAATGAAATAAGATAAAAATGCATGTTATCTTGTCATTAGCAGATTTAACAAATAAAAGTTATTTGTGTTAATATTTTGTAACAAATAACCGTAAAATGTATGCACCTCGACTGAGGCGCACAAAATGCTTGATTTATTATACAGGGTGTTAGGTAAATGGGTTTATAAGCAGACACTAGCCCATGTTAACGTGTCCATATAAATGGTATGGTGAAGGCAGAAAATTGATATCAGCATTTTTATAATTTTAATTTTCATACAAATCTGAATAAATAAATTTTATTTTGTATGAAAAATATGAAATCACTGACTACAGCATACCATTTACATACAATGTTAACATGGGCTAGTGTCGGCTTATAAGCCCATTTACCTAACACCCTGTATAAATAGGTACTTGAAATTATTTTTTTAAAAAGAACACTGTTTACAAAACAACACATCGTCAGTTTATATGAAGTTACGATACTGTATGATAGTATTACCGTGCTTTTGGGGCGGTTGGCATGGCGATTACAATGAGGGTTTTCGCGAATGAAAAATCCGCCAGATGGCAATACATAGACGCATAGACATAGAGATAGACGCGACGTCCAAATGCTGCACGATTGGTTATTTTTGATATGACATTGACAGATATGTCAAAATCCACCGATCACGCAGCAGTCAGACCCACAGATATGGATTAGAGGTCAGACCCCACATTCACTCGTCGTCCCGCCATCTAGCGGATCTTTCATTCGCGAAAACCCTCATTTCTAAAAAAATCTATTTTCGGCCAAACGCCCTTACAATGGGTGGACTTAATACTATACGCATTCTCCTCCACTCAACCCCTATTGCATGCAATTCCTCCTACTTTTATGGTTACTGGTAGTAATAAATTTTTAACGGTATTCTTAGGACCGTACTAAATATAATTTTTGTCTCGTTCTACAAGCAGTAGGACGGTCCCGTCAATAGGTTATTAAAATAATTAAAAGCAAAAATTATGTAGTCAAGAAGTTTTATTATTTAGGACTGTTGCCAAATTAAGCTTCAGCCTGTGCTTGCAACTTCTTGATGAAGGATTCCTTTTTCTGCTTGATCCTGTTCTTTCTTTCGGCCAGTGTCAGCTTGCGCTTATTCCAGCGTTTCTGTTTGGCAGGGTCTTTCTTGCCTTCCTTCTTCTTGTATGAGGGGTCAGCCCGGATTGATTCATGTGCCTTCTTGTATAGACCTTCAACCTGTAGAAGAAAAATAATTTTCAATAAGTTCAATAAATAAATAAATAAAATGGGAGATGATACTTTTTTTTTGTTTGTAGCAATTTTATGATATAATTAACCATGATAAATCAATAGCTTAGTATTTTCAATTGCAATTTATTTGGTCCGACTTCGACACTGTTATTTTAAATATGAAATAACAGTAATTTGTTCGGACGAATAGTTATTTCTTGAAAATATTACTTACAGCATCTGCAACTACACCAAGTTTGATGTATTTGCCGAATTGCCTCTTGTAGGAGTCCTCATCCTCTTGTTCCAAGTTCTTCATGTATTCAGCAACATGTATTCCGAAGATGTGAGATCTAAAACAATTAAAAATGATTACAATCCTTAATTCAGATTCCAAAGCATAGTATTTTTTTATGAATCAATAAAATTGTTTCCTAGACCGGTTTCCAAAAACGATTTAACATTTTTATTCACAACCAAAATGTCTCGGACTTTTATATAGCTCCAATAGACTGTCCAAAACATAGTGTGGCTATTTTTTTGGAGGATGAATGGAGCTGACAATATGTAAGTAAATGACTATGTTTATACCTGTGCACTTCAGCGTTGAATTTCTTTGATTCTGCATCATATCCTGGGAACCTTTTGATGGAATGAGGAACATTAAGACCTCCATCTACTGCTCCTTTCATGGCTCCAAATACACGGGCACCAGTGGTCGTTCTTGCCAGTCCAACATCAAGGTAACATCTAAGTAAAATAATTCATATTAGACTATTAATATTGGTATGTGTAACTATCATGATACAAATAGACTTCAAAACTAGGGAGTGGGAATACACACCTGAAAGCTCCAGGGCCATTGTCTACAGGTTCCACATTGAATTCATCACCAGTTACTTCGGTTGCACCAGCATATAGAGAGTCAAGGCCAAGTCGTTGTAGAAGTCTTCGCGCCAGCAATAGACCAGTGCAATACGCAGCAGCATAGTTGGTAAGTCCAACCTAAAAAGAAGACTGTTTTTGTTAAAATCTAAGCAACAATTTCCATCAATAATTTACGAGGGTGGAATAATAAGATAACTCAGTATTGAACATATGGCAACATGATTTAAGCGTTTGTACGTCGCCTTCAGACCGCCCGTTCAAAATCATCATTGATAGAACTTTTGTGTGATAACCTCTCAAGCAAAATAAAGTAAATTTTCATTTTATACTTGATTCTGTTATAAAATTCAATTACCTTGATGCCATAGCGGGGTAGTTCATGTGAGTAAGCAGCGCACACAATGTGGTCACCTTCAATACGAGAGTAGGCAACCTGGCAGGTCACATCCTTGTTAGAGAGACGTACAATCAACCGGTATTTGGGCGTGTTGTACTTGTTCTTGTCCTGAAATGATAATTCGCAGTTAATAATACATATTATTTGCATCACCACAAGTCCCAGTAAGTATTACTAAAGAATTAGGTAGTACCTGCACAATCAGGCGTTTTCGTGCATAGTAGTCAGTTTTCCCTTCACGACGCCTCTTGAATTTAACTTGGTACCTCTTGAAGTACTGCTTGTTCTTCACAACTTTGACGAAACCCTGAAAAGATAAGTTTGTTAGAAACCATTGCAAGAGACAAAGCAGTAAGTAGTGTTTATGTAAACATCAGAGACACTTTTAAATCATGAATGGTACAGTTGAGAACCAATTCAAACACGGAGGCACCATAAAACATGGTACAACCAGTCAAAAAGGCTTCTTCTGCACCATCAGATGACGCGCATGTGTCGGCGTTTCATCATTTAGGTTAGATTGATTTTAAATGTTACAGTATGAACAGGTAAAGTACAGGGCAACAATGATATTGTTTAGACACTTTTAGACTTCACCGTTTTTATTAATTCACACAAAGGTCACTTCACATGACACGATACACCAATATGGTCAAAATTTAATCCTCATAAACTTTTTCCATCAGTGTTATGAACACTATCAACACCAGTCTATTACGTTCACAACAAGGCACATTATAAGAAGAGACTCTGATTTTAGAAAAATTATAATTACTAACCATTTTAAAATAAATCAAATGTACGGCAGCTTCTTTCACAGAACACCACCGGAAAAGACAGATTGAGTATAGACAAGGAAGGAAAGAAAGAATTTTTTTTTTCTATTAAATTTGTGACCATGTATATTGGCCATTTCTAAATAAGAAAAAGAAAATTGTAATGTGGAGTAGGCATGTGACCTTCTATTTAATAAAAAATATTCCAACCCGCCTTGGCTGCTGGGCGGGCACTTCAATCAATCAATTCAATCCATAATAGAAATTAGATTTGAAATCTTTTTCAGGAGACATATGGAAGGTATTATACATTTTAAATCATAAACTAGCAGAAACTAATATTCTAACATTTAATATGCAATGCAAAAATCGTCGCGTGTTAAAATTTTGAAATAAATACTAGGGTTGATTTTGATAGGATTGCTAGGATCGTATCACAATCGTATCGGTCTGTCAGAATGATTTGCGGGTCAATTTAGTGAGATTGTCTATGACTGGCGGATACGGAAACGAAAAAGTTAACAAAAAAAAAGGCATTGTCAAAAATTCGGTATGGCTTCCTTCTATTCATACCCCGAATTATTTTTGGCGGGTTTTGTATTTACATTGCCATTTTTATATGAAAAGAGTAACGTATTTAGATATTACCTTAAGTTTTTTCTTTACTATGCATATGTGTTAATAACATGCACCGTATTGCTGCCTGTAGTGCTATTATATCCACGGGACGTAACAAATTTAATGTAAGTATCGATTATTTTTAAACATCAAACCTGTGACTATTTTCAGTCCACCGTACCTTTATCTTCTCGTCTAAACATTATTGTTTGTTTACCAGTGTTGCATCCAGATTCTGCCGTTATGCTTCTCATATAGTAGGAATAGAATGGGAACTAAGAGGCTTAGAAAATTGGGATAATGAACAGTGCTATATCGTGATATCAAATCATCAGAGCTCATTGGATATATTAGGTAAGGTATCAACTAGAATCTAGATCAAGTAACTAGATCAAGTGTGTTCTGTATAATTTTCTTGGTCTTACAATCCAAATGTTACAGGCATGTTTGAGATGTGGCCCCGCATGAAACGATGTACAGTCGTAGCCAAAAGACCGCTTATGTTCACTGGAGCCTTTGGTTTCGGTGCTTGGTTGTCGGGTCTTGTATTTATCGATCGCCTAAAAACTGATAGAGCACGCCAGCTAATGATGGAAGCTACAGAGAGAGTAATAAGAGAAAAGGTATATTATTTAATAACATCGCTGTCGTTGCGGTACTCGCGTCGCCGGTGAGTTAGGACACCATGCATGGCCTCTCATGCCAAATGAGCGCTGGTCGAGTCTCCCGACACGCCTGCATCAATGACGTCATCCGCAGAGCTCTTGTCGCCGTCAATGTGCCAGCAGTTTTAGAGCCTAACGGCATACTCCGTGACGATGGCAAGAGACCTGACGGCATGACGCTCATTCCCTGGAAGCAGGGCCGTCCTCTTGTGTGGGACGCAACATGCGCGGATACGCTTGCTCCGTCTCATACAGGTCCAACCTCCCTCGCCGCAGGCGCGGCGGCGGCCTCGGCCGAGTGCTCCAAGCGGCGCAAATATGCAGCTCTCAATGAGAGTTATATATTTGTGCCGTTTGGGGTTGAGACTATGGGACCATGGGGTCCAAGAGCTCGTTCCTTTTATAAGGAACTGGCAAAGAGGCTCACCGAGGTGACCGGTGATGAAAAGGCTGGCAGCTATTTCGGTCAGAGAATTAGCCTGGCCATTCAACGTGGCAATGCTGCCAGCCTTTTGGGTACCATTCCTGACTGCGGCGCTGGGGGTGAAGTATTTTTTATTTTGTAAATAGTTTTTATCATTAGTAATTTTTAAATTTTAGTTTTTAAGTAATTTTAAGTTAATGTATTATTATAAAACTTATTACCTCTAAAATTTTTTTATGTAAAATTATTAAACACATTGAAATTTTCAGACAAAACTGTGGGTGTTTCCAGAAGGAGCAAGATACAATAAAGGCAGTATTCAACCATTTAAAAAGGGAGCCTTTTATCTAGCAATTGATGCCCAAATTCCTATTATGCCTGTAGTATTCAGTCAATATTATTTTCTTGATAGTGAAACAAAAACATTTGAACCAGGTCAGCACCTTATTTTTATAATATTATTTTTTATTTGCTTGTTATGATATTGTTATTTAACTTCTGAGTAATAATATTAATTAATTGTTTTAGGAAAAGTGGTGATAAGCACTTTGCCTCCAATACCTACTAAAGGCATGACCCGTGATGATTTGGAAACTCTTTCTGAAATGACTCGCCAACAAATGATTGAAGTCTTCAATGAGAGCTCCAGAGATTTGGTTATGCAGAAGAAAATAGTTGTTTAAGTTTTGCCCTAAGTTTAAGTATAGCCTATAATCTAGTCATTGTTTATTTATAGCAAAGAGTTTGTTGATCTCATTCTGTAACCCACAGTGTATTAAGAATTGATATTATTTATATTAGTATTTAGATTTGAAACTTACTAGTCATTTGTACCTTATTTAAAACTTGTTTTATATTTGATATTGATTTAAAGTTTATGCAATATTAGGTAGGTTACATCAATTTATTTAAGTATGGTCGTCAATCAAATTAAAGTATGTCTTTTAAGAATTTTAAGATTATGCTATAGGTAAATAATTTACAAACATTGTTACTGTACTATTTGTTTGCATTTTAAACAGTATTGTATTTTTATGGCGCAAGTACACACTATGCAGAAAATTGACCGAGAAGAAGCGCTAGATCCCACACTGAAAATTGGGTGACGCACGGGTGCGGGAAGGATAAAATAACAGATATCCAGTGACTTCCGTTAACATTCCTTATGCTTTAAGCTCTAATGTATGGTGCCCTCAAGATATTTTTGTTATTTATTTTACATTAGTAAATACATTTGTTCTAGCATAACAAATTGAATTGTTTTAATTAAAACATTAAGTTTATTACTGTTCATTTCAACTACCACCAACACCAAAATTGCTTTAAGTGAGCAAAAATGATTACTTGCGCGCTTGCTTTGTTAGCAGGTTTATTGTTACAGAATAAAAAAATGTTGATTATGATTCCTAAAAGCGCCACTGAAGCGGTGAAGAACTAGGTACTACCAGTATTTAATTACCGTGGTACTACTGTGGACTAAATGAGACCAAGTTACGAGGGCGGCACTGAAAATTTCGGGAATCAAGGAAGTGAAACAACATTACTATTTAAAAATGTATTTATTGCTTTTTAAAGTATTCTCCGCGAAATTTGACACATTTTTCCATACACGAAACCAATCATTGAAGCAACCATTGCATTCGGAAGTTTGGGTCTCCAAAATGGCCGTTTTGTAGGCTTCCACAGCTTCTTCAGGTGATGAAAATCTCTGACCACGCAATTTATTCTTTATTTAAGGGAGTTTACGCCGTTTGGCGCAAAAACAGTACTTTTTCAACTCGTTACAATCATTAACCAGTAATATTTCAAATATGTTATAGGCATAAATAGTTAGGCAATTTCGTCGTCTAAATAGTTAATTGAGAAAATATTGCGATTAGTTTAGTATTTAAGAATTCTCTCAAGATAAGTCCACACAGGTTTTGTAAATTTCCACTTTAGCGTCAGTTTACAAGCTGAAATTTTTATAAAAATACTGTGAAAACGATTTAACAAACATTTATATCCTATAGCATAGATCCTTGGGCAAATAGTTATCTGAGAAAATTTTTAGATTTAAGCATTTTACAATAAGAAATCACAAATTAAAAGAACGTGAATTACCCAAAAATCAAAGTGATTTTTTCACCAATATTCTTCCTTTATTCAACACAAAAATAGCTTAATATGATAGAAGAATATCTTATCTAAAATATTTACTTTGAAATTTTAAATAATTCATTGTAATTTTTTTCTATGAGTATTTGAAAAGTACTATAAAACGCCGCGCACGAATCGTTCAAATTCAGTCCGCCTCGAGGCGTTCCAGAGTGAGGTCACGTCGCTCGGTGCTCTGCTGACATGTGTCACGCGTACGTTGATCTTTGACAGGTAGCTGGACTTTTATAGTGTATCCGCAAAATCTTGGTGGTAGATTTTGCGATCACGTGGTAATTAAAATATTTTATTGTTATTTTTCATTACAGTCTATTTTTACTACAAATTCTATTTCAGACGTAATGAAAAATAAAATTAAGTTATTTTTAGCGATGAAACGAAAACGAATGACGAAAATTTGGAACAGCAAGTTATGTATGTATACCTACTAATATTATAAAGAGGAATAATACTAATAATTTATTTGCCATAAATAGGTGGTTACAGAATAGTTAATAGGAATGCTCTGCCAGCAGGGTCCCACCTAGTTGTAGGGGGAACATACACAACATATTATTACAGTCGGAAAATCTTTGCGGTAGGTACCTGGGATTGTTAGTTAGTTAGTTAGTTGGTCAGTGGTCATTTGACGGCCACTTGAATCGTCTCACCCCTAAGCTTTTGGCTACCGCCGGCGCACTAAGCCGATTGATGCCTATAATCTCGGAGGCGCGGCCGCACTGAGTCGCTGACTATACTTTTGCGTCACGCGTTATGTGGTCCTATATGGGGCTCAAGTATGGCACAGTGCTGTGTAGTCGTGGAGCATCCTACTGTTGAAAAAAGCGCGACGCATGATATCACTGAGGCACAGTATCCGCATAGTATCCGCAGTCCGTCTATTCCCAGTTGTGGACACTGACTATGTCCCTACTGAGGATAAATGGGAAAAAATATATTGTCATTAGTGGCGACGTATAACAATCCTACTAATATTATAAATGCGAAAGTTTGGATGTCTGGATGTTTGTTACTCTTTCACTCAAAAACTACTGAACGGATTTTGTTGAAACTTTACAGTATTATTGTTTATAATCCAGATTAACATAATTTTAGGTTATAATTTATGACGATGTGTGACAAATAAAGGACAATGACCAAAAATGTATGGAGTGTGGTCCAAATGTCCACCACTAACGAGACCTATGAAGTAAAATAGTCTACTAAATACTGATTCATTATAACCAAACCGCAATTAAAAATATGCTGTCAGTAAAAAGTTATGACTGAATGAAAAGTCTGTTTTTTACCTTTTTATCCGAAAAATGTTCATGATATCATTCTATCCATTGCACATATTGGACTAATCTACGCATGTTATGTCATGTCGCATGTGGCGCGGGCATATAGATGAACTTGATTAAATATTATACTAGTTGTACCTACGACTTTGTACGCGTGAGAATTGTTAGAATAATGTTTCCCATTTTTACGACATTTGTCTTTACTGCTCCACCCCTATTGGTTGTTGGGTGATGTTATTTATCTTAAAACCATCCTTGATAAATGGGCTATCTATAATAAAAATATTTTTTCAAATCAGACCAGTAGTTCCAGAGATTAGCGCGTAAACTACTACATTTTTCAAACAGTCATAACATTTTACTGACAGCTTATTTTTTTTTCGTCCCATACTGAAAGTTAATCTCTATTTATTGGACTATAAGCCAATATAGGTTTCATTGGTGGTGGACATTTGGACCACTTTTGGTCATTGTCCTTTCAATAAATAAATAAGACGTGTCTAAAAAGCGCAATCTATCGTCATTGGTTAAAATCTACAGCGCTGGACAAACTACTGTTTTTGACGTTCGTAAATATTCATGCGGGGGANGAGGGGCGACATCAAGACCACCGTCGTAGAGGCTCTGGATCGGCTGTACCAGCTCGTTAAGGAATCGGAAACGGAAAGGAAGGGGAAGGCTCCCAGCAAGAGCATGGTTGAGCCTGAACCTGAAAGAGAGAAGGAAAAGGATAGGGAAGAGGATAAGAGAGTTGATGAAGAAAGGATAGTGGCAATGATACGGGAAAACAGGAGACTTTTGTTGGAGAATGGTTCTAAAATGGAAGCTATAAAGGAGGAGATAGAAAAACAGCGTGGTTCCGTAGAGAAGACGACCTATGCCAGCGTGGCGGCTTCCGTGCCCAACCAGCAGCTCCAACAAGTCAGGTCGGCCCTCCACTCCGTCGTCGTCTCATCGAAAGATAAGATGGAGACGGGGGAGGATGTGCTGCGGAAGGTCAGGGAAGCCGTCAACGCTAAGGAAGGCTGGGTGCGAGTCGAGCGAACAAGAAAGGCTAAGAATGCAAAAATCATTATGAGTTGCGAGACAGAGGAAGAGAGAAGCAAACTAAAAGAGAGGATTGAGAGTACGGGTGGCCTCCTCGTCGCGGAGGAAGTGAAAAATAAAGACCCTCTCCTTGTGCTCAGGGACGTCCTGTCGATGAACACCGACGGAGACGTCCTGAAAGCATTAAGGAAGCAGAATGGTAGTATTTTTCATGACCTCCGCGAGGCGGAGGACCGTATCACAATCAGGTACAGAAAGAAGGCCAGGAACCCGCACACACAACATGTAGTCGTGAGTGTTTCCCCAACGATCTGGACGAGAGCGATCGCGGCGGGATCCGTGCATATCGACCTACAGCACATCAGAGTGGCCGACCAATCACCGCTGGTGCAGTGCACTAAGTGCTTGGGATACGGCCACAGTAGACGATTTTGCACGGAGCCCGCCGACGTTTGCAGCCACTGCGGCGGGCCACACTTCAGCGCCGACTGCGCCGAGAAGCTCGCTGGTGGGGCACCTTCGTGCCGGAACTGCCAGCGAGCCAAAGCGGAGCACGTCGCGCATAACGCTTTTAGCAGCGACTGCCCAGTGCGCAGGCGGTGGGATGCGTTGGCCAGGTCAGCAGTGGCATATTGTTGAGATCGTTTCTGGCGCGAATACCAACCAGCTCACAATACAGCACTCTATCATACTCCTTGTACAAGGTGTTAGGTGGTTAGGGAAATCTATTTTAAAATCAGTTAAAAAGGACTCCATTTGCAATTATTCGGCTTACACATCAAACACTCAAAATTCTAATTCTAATTCGGTTAAAATATTCGGAAAGCAAATCGGAGCCAAATTGTTGAACAATTTGAACGACTTGAACATCAAAATTAAACATAAAAACATCAAAGCAATAGTACAAAACAAAACATGAAAATCAAACGCTTTTTGCTCTTCACAGAGCGAATGCGGTATCCATCGGGAAAACAACTTTTTTACACCTAATTGTTCATGCAAGATTATTTGTATTTGACTCATGCCAATGTCTAAAGTTGCCTGAATTTCGCGGTATATCACATGTCGATCTTCTTCAATCAGCTTACGCACAGCATCAACGTTTTCTTAGGTGACTGCAGTTTTTGGACGACCTTGACGGGGATCATCACTGAGCTTGACACGTCCACGTTGAAATTCAGGAAACTAGCGATAAATTGTGGTTTTGGATGGGGCTTCATTACCAAATGCAGAAATCATCCGGTCAACACACTGTTTTTGTGTTAAACCACTTCAAAAGTCATAATAAATCATCGCTCTTGAATTTTCTCGAGTCAATTCCATTTTCTCAACGACTAAACAAGTTTGACAAGACCTTGTGATACGACCGAGAATCTTTTTTTAAATAAATAAATGGTATACGATTTTTAAAACCCTGGACTTTGCAATTAAATAGATTTTAATATGACTGGAACAGTGGAAATATTCCATTCCCGATACTTTTAGTGCAGCCCTCGTACTCTATGCATGAGACTACACCAGTAGCGCCAACTAGTGAGTGCAATAAAGAAGCATCCATACGCGTCGAACAGAGAGCAGAAATAACTTCTGCTCTCTGGCGTCGAAGGATTAGGTCATACTCTCTAATCTGTGGATTAGGTGCCAGTGAGCGTGCCAGCTAGGTAGGTATTAGGACACTAATTTGAATCAAAAATCCTTTATTTAAATAGACTTATTCTAAAGTATGTAATACAT